TCCCTCTGCATCCCTCTCCTGGGTGGTTTCGTTATTTCCCAAAGCTCCTGGAAATTCCCAGTAAATACCTGGGAAAAGGGGAGGCTCTGAATTGAAAAAAGATCAGAAAATCAAACAAAAAGCCCCTAAAATTCAAATAATTCTGTTAAAAAGGTGCAGGAGGGGGAAGTTATGGAATTTAAAATGTCCCATCCTCAGCTTGATCCAAATCCCTGCATTCCAACTGGTCCACAAGCCCCAAAAATCAAAATATCAAACAAAAAATAAGCAGAATAAAAGGATAAAAATGAGCAGAATCTCAATTTAATCAAACCAAGAAACTTCTGTAACGGCCCAATTGCATTTAGCAAATAGCAAAGTTTGAATTTTTATTTAAAAGCAAATTTTGGGGTAAATTTAAGGTTTAATTCAGGATTCTGCTGGGCTGGAGCTGACGTAGGCCAGACCAATAAAAAGCTCCTGAGAGCAGCTGAAATTTCATAATTCATCATTAATAATTTCATAATTCATAATTGTGCAATAAGAGCTCGGGCAAGCCAAGGCTTCTCCCTTTCTCAGCTGCTCAGAATTCCTGAAAATCCCTGAAAAACTCCCAGGAACTGCAAAAAAAATGCATTTAGGGGATGGGGAAAAAGGGAATATTTAGCAAAAAAAATAAAGATGAAAAGGAAAAAACTCCCTCAGGTTTTCCTCATCTTTGGGCCAGTTTGGGCTTGGATTTGAGATTTATCTGTAAGCAGGAAAAAAAATTTTAAAATAGATTAAAACCCATTAAAATTAGCTGGAAATGCAGAAAATTTAACCTCAGGAGAAGCTGCACCCTAAAAAAAAATTTTAAAAATCCATTTTTAAATGAAGAGAAGCACACAAAAAAGGGGAATTATATAATAAATAAATATATAAATATATAATTAGAAATCTATAAATATATAAATAGGTATTTGAATATATTTGAATATATTTAAATATATGCACTATACATAAATAAATAAATAGAAATATCTTTTATATAAATGTGTAAATAAATATACACACTATATAAATATATAAACAATTTAGATTAATAAATAGATATCGAGATAATAATAGAAATAATGGGAAAATAATATAATTATTATAAATTTAAAAATATAAATTGCAATAATTATAAATAATGCACTATAAATAATGGAGGTTTATTTTTTTTTCCATTTTTTCCTTGTGGAATGTCAGGAATATTTGGTGTTTCCCAATTTAAATTCAGGTTTAATTGCTGGGGCAGGCTGTAATTACAGGAACCAGCTGAGCATTGCAAACCTCGGTGACGCAGCCCAGGGAAATCCAGCCCGGAGCCGTCACCAGGAATTTCCTGCAGCTCTCGGGGACAGGAGCTGCAGGGGTCCCAAAACGATCGGAATTCAGGGGCATCTCAAAAAGGGTGAAACTCAAAATTTGGGTCTGGGTGCAGGTGGTCCCTAAAATACCCCAAATTTTGGGACATTCCAGGAAAGATGAAGGGACAGGAGCTGAAATTTTGGGTCCGGGCGCAGATGTTGCTGAAATAATCTGAATTTTGGGTGATTCCAAGAGGGATGAAGGAACAGGAGCTGAAATTTGGCTCTGGATGTTGATGTTGCCTAAAATACCCCAAATTCTGGAGGATTCTGAGGGGGGTGAAGGGACAGGAGCCTTTTCCTCCTCACAGTCACAGCCCAGAGCTGCGGCTCCGGGCTGAGAATTCCACACTTGTAACGGGAAAAACCTGAATTTCCTTCCTTCCCTGGGTGGTTTTTCTGGAATTCCAGCTCCCCAGAGCCAGGATCACAAATCTCCCCCAAAAAAGCTTTTTTTTCCCCCATTCTCTCCCCACTGAAAACGTTGTCTGTCTCTTAGGCCGGGCTCAGCTCCATAAGCCCAGAATTAAGAGATTCCCCATGGAATCCTCTGCTCTCCTCCCAGCTCCCAGCACCCGGGGTAGGTCCAGTTCTGGTTTTTCTGCCCCAAAAGGAGGAACTGGGTGGGAATTTCGCTCCTGTCCCTGCAATCCCAGCGGATTTCCTGCTGGGAAGGCTCTGGGGGGATCTCTGAGGCTTCTTGGCTTTTCTTGATGGGATTTTTGGGGCTGCCTAAGAGTGAGGCCAGACAAAATTAGGAGAATCAAAGGAAAAAAATAAGTACATTAAATTAAATTAAAAGTGGGTGATTCTGAATAAATAATAAAATAAAATAAAATAACATAGAATAAATAAAATAGAAAGTGGGTGATGCTGAATAAATAAGGAAATAAAATAAAATAAAATAAAATAAATAAAATAAAAAGTGGATGATTCTGAATAGATAAATAGAATAGAATAAAATAAATAAAAGAAAATAAAAAGTGGGTGATTCTGAGTAAATAAATAGATAAATAAAATAAAAAGTGGGTGATTCTGAATAAATAAATAAAATTAATTTAAAAAATAAAATAAATAAAAGGAAATAAAAAGTGGGTGATTCTAAATAAATGATATAAATAAAGAATTAATAAATATATAAATCTAAATAAATAAATATACAAATATAAATAAATATATAAATAAAGAATAAATAAATATAATATAAATAAAGAATAAATAAATAGACTAGAAGAATAAAATAAATAATAAAATAATGTAAAATAAAATAATAAAATAAATAAAATAAATAAAATAAATAAAATAAATTAGAATAGAATAGAATAGAATAGAATAGAATAGAATAAAATAAAATAAAATAAAATAAAATTAAATAAAATAATGAGACAAAATTTAAAAAAATGCAATGACACGAATGCCATTCTGTTGTTCTCTTGCAGAGCCTGCCCGGGCTCCGTTCCCCTCGGGGGGCTCCATCATGTCCTGCTTCCCTCAGCTCTGGCACTCCAGCACCCCGGAGTCGCCGTCCAGCCCCGCTCCGGCCCCGCCGGGCTCGGTGCCGGTGCCGCTGAGCCCCCTCGTGCTGCCGTCGCCGGGCGATGCCCGCAGGAAGGGCCGGTCCCCCGCGGGCTCCCCGAGCTGCGCCAGCCCCGGCTCGCCCAAGCCGGCCTCGCCCGTCGAGTGCTCCATCTGCTTCAACACCTACGACAACACCTTCAAGACGCCCAAGCTGCTGCAGTGCTCGCACGTGTTCTGCCTGGAGTGCGTGGCGCGGCTGAGCGCGGCGCTGGGCGCCGGCCAGGAGCTGCTGCCGTGCCCCTTCTGCCGCCAGCCCACCAGCCTGCCCAGCCAGGGCGCGCCCGGCCTGCGCACCAGCAAGGAGCTGCTGGCCACGCTGCCGCCCGAGCTGCAGCGCGAACGCGAGCTCTGGATGGACGGCACCAAGCTCTGCTGCCGCCGCGCCTCCGACGGCGACGCCGAGAACCCCGAGTCCTGCGTGTCCATCGACGTGGCCCTGAGCAAGGCCGAGAGCGCCGAGGCGGCCCCGGCGGGGCTGGCGGGGCGGCTGTCGCGCTGCGAGCTCTGCGACGACTGGAAGCGCATCGTGCTGCTCTCGGCGCTCCTCATCATCCTCTTCTGCATCATCCTGTGGCCCGTGCAGTGCGCGCTCAAGACGGGCAACCTGCGCTGCTTCACGCGGACTGCGGCCGTCAGCCGGCCCGAGCTGCTGCCCCCCAAAGCCACCGCGGGCCCCATGGCCGTGACACGGCCGCCGTTCCAATAGGGACCACTGGGGCTGCTCGGGGATGGGGACAGGGACAGGTTCTGCTGTCCTGACAGGATCTGTCACACAGCCACCGTTCCAATAGGGGCTACTGGGGCTGCTCAGGGATGGCACCTGCTGAGCCCTGGCAGCTGCAGTGACACGGCCACCGTTCCAATAGGGACAGGGCCCTGAGGCTGCTCAGGGACGGGGACAAGGACGGGACCTTCTGTCCTGACCACTTCAGTGACACGGCCGCCGTTCCAGTAGGGACAGGGCTCTGGGGCTGCTTAGGGATGGAACCTTTTGTCCTGACAGAATCTGTCACATGGATGCCCTTCCATAGTGCCAGAGCCCCTGGATCTGCTCAGGGATGGGGACAGGGACAGGACCTGCTGTCCTGGCAGCTCTGGTGACATGGCCACCCTTCCAGTAGGGACAGGCCCCCTGACACCCCCTGACAGGGGCTGCTCAGGGATGGGGCCTTCTGTCCTGAAAGAATCTGGGACAAAACCCCCATTCCAGTAGAGCCAGAGTCCCTAGATCTGCTCAGCTCCATGGGGACAAGGGACAGGACCTGCAGTCCTTTCAGGATTTGGGACAAAACCCCTCTGGATCTGCTCGGCTCCATGGGGACAAGGGACAGGACAAAGCCTTTCCTGGATCTCGGCTCCATCCGGTGCCAAGCAGGACCTGCTGCATTCCTGGGATTGCCGGCAGATCCCGCATCCCGCTCACCGCGCTCCCGTGCCTCTGGAATGTCCTTCCCCGCCTCTGGAATGTCCTTGTGCCACTGGAATGTCCTTCCCGTGCCTCTGGAATGTCCCCGTGCCTCCATCCCGCTGCTCTCCACGGAATCCAGGGCTGGGAATGCACCCAGAGCTCCCCAGGCTCCCCCTTCCTCCTGCTCCTGAGGGAATAAAGGGATTTTTTTTTCCTGGAGCAGCTCCGTGATTATTCCTGTGAGGAGCTGGGATGGGAGGGCTGGATGGACAGATGGGAAACAGCAGAATTCCAGAGGCTGGGAGGGTGAGTCCTGAATTCCAGAGGTTGGGAAGGTGAAACCCAAATTCCAGAGGTTGGGAAGGTGAAACCCGAATTCCAGAGGCTGGGAAGGCTCCCTGGTGCTGAGGGGGATAAAAGAGACAAAGAAGGAAATGTGGAGACTCCCACCAGCTGAAACCACAGAGGAGGGGAAGGAAAGACACAAAAATCCTGCAAAACCCTGGGACTGGGGTTGGAATTCCTGGAAAAACTGAATTTAGGAGATGCAGGAGCTTCCCCCTCCTCTGCCCAGCAAACAGCACCAAGAAAAGCAGGATTCTCCTTTACCTAGGGAAAAAAGGAAAGAAGCAGAAGGCCCCTTAAAAACCTCTTTAATCGTTTCCAACCTTTATTTCTGGGTGATTTGACGAAAGACACGAGTTAGTAATGGTTACATCATGCTGCTCCTCTACTGCGCATCGCCCGCCACAGCTCAGCCAGCAGCTCCCCAAGGCAGGGATTCACCCTCTCCATCGACGCCTCAGGGGTTTCAATTAAAAAAAAAGCCAAAAAAAATCAAATCCAGAAAAAAAACCCCAACCTTATGTTCTCTTTTTCTCTTTTTTTTTTTTTTGGTTATTTTTTTGCATGTTCTGTGGTAGAAATGTTGATAAAAATAAAGCCCAGGTGAATGCGCTGCTGGAAATTCCAAATGCTCCCCCATGAGGACACAAAATCCCGGTTTAAGGCATTTCCAAGCCCCAGCAAAAGCAAAATGAGTTTTTATATTTATTTTTGTTCAATTCTTGGGGTTTGTTTTTTTTTTGCTCTTTCTTGACTTTATCCTGGAAATCAGCAGCTTCCCCATCCCTGTGGAGCTGGAACACCAGCCCAGCTGGGAATGCCACTCCAAACTCCCAAAATAGGGACTGGGGGGCTCCCAGCCCAGCCCAGCCCAGCATTTCCCACCAGGAATCCCAGTTTGGACCCAGCAGCCCCCAAAAATGGGAATTTTGGCACTCAGGGAACCCCCCAGGCACAGCAGAGCCCCCATCCCATGCAGGGCACAGCCCCCCATGGAATGTTTAACCCTGCATTTTCCACAGGAATGTCACAGGTTGGGAATATTTATTTTTTTAAAAATCAAATAAACTAAATCAAAGCAGATCCAAGTGGTTTTTCCATTGGTTTTCCCTCTTGGTTCCACCTTTGTTCAGAGCTCACCCTGAGAGAAGAAATTTGACCTTTCCTGGCTCAAAAGTTGGTGCCAAAACTCCCATTTCAAAGGGTGCCCTGCAAGGCGGGGTAGAAATTTAGGGAAAAAAAAGCCAAATTCCGGCACCTTGGGCAGGAACTCCCACCCAGCACCTGGTGGGGTCCTGCAGATGAATCCCCAAAGTTGTTTTTCCACAGAGAAATCCCAGCTGAGGGTGGGGAAGGGACACAGAGGCCACAAAGCGGCAGGAAATCCTTCCATGGAGAAGGAATCCCATGGAAGATGGGATTTCTTCCAGGGCTGGGATCCATCTGTTCTTCTCCACATCCAGGAGACCCCGAGCTGCAGCCAGAGGTGCAGCCACACCCCAGAAACTTCACAACTGGCCCCAAAATTTTCCTTTCCTGGAAGAAAATGCTTCAAATTCCCCCCAAATCCTCCCCAGCCCTGCTCCTGCTCCTGTTGGAGCCGTTCCTGCTGGGCTGGCAGCATCCAGAGGATGTGGAATACCCAAAAACTCCCAAGTCCAAGGTGAAAAATTCCCAATTTTCTTGGTGGGAGAGGCTCCAGTGGCAGCTCTGCATTCCCAGGCTGGGAGCCAGAGGCTGGAGAAGGCTGTGGGGCGTGGAGGACACATCCAGGAGACCTCTGAGGAGGGGACAGGGAATCTCCTGGTCCTCTTGGGAGAGGGAGAGAATTCCCAGCTCTGGGACAGGAGCTCCGAGTGATCCCCAGCATGAGGGAGGCCAAGGCTCGGTGGCCGGGGAGGGGTCAGGACGCGTCTGGATGAACACAAAATGTGGGAATGAGGTTTCACAGCTGCTCCTGCACGTGTCCAAGAGGAAGAGGAGGAGGAGAACCGCTGGAAAAATCCACATTTTTGCCTCCCCAGCACCTCTGAGTCCAGCAAAGAGTCCCGAGGCGAGCGCAGAGCGAAGCTTGGGCCTGGCTCTCTCCCTTCCAGTGCGTGGCATCCCTGATTTGAGCAGAGCTCGGAGGAGAAAAGCACTTGAGATCCTTACACACATAAATTACAGTGAGAGGAACGGGGGGCAGCAGGAATCAGGTGAACACGGGGCCAGGAGAAGGTTTGGAAGAGCCAGAGCCCGGAGCAGGGTGGGAATTCCCACCCTGCAAATCCGTGAAGGCCTCGCCAGCACCAGCAGCGTTTCCCCCACAGGAAAACAGGGTTGTTTTGGGAACAAACCCCCCAAAAACACCAGGAAAAAAGGGGGAAAACGACCCCAAAACAAAAGAAGCTTCAAGTATGAAGAAGATCGACGCTGCAGTGGGAGAGTTCTGGTGTCACTTCTCGAGCTTTGTTCCGCTGCTCGGGCCGAGAGCCCGAAAGCAAAAAGGGTTTCCTGCCCTCCCTGTCCCCCCCAAAAATATAAAAAGCAATAAGTTTACAAAAATAGAAAATAATTACAGCAATAGGCAGGAGGGAGGGAGGAGGGAGGCGGGAGGGAGGTCCCTGGGCTCATTTGGCCGAGCAGTGCAATATCCGGGGCTGGTTCAGGGCATCCTCCAGCAGGTGCAGCTCCCGCCGGTCCACGAGCACGTCCCGCATGCAGCCCACGAAACCCGTGCTGAACGCCTTGGGCAGGCGCTGGGGCACGCTCAGCTTGTCCAGGCCCCCTGGAACAGAGCAGGGCTCAGCTGGGGTGGGGACAGAGCTGGGGACAGAGCTGGGGACGGGGGACAGAGCTGGGGACAGAGCTGGGGACAGGGGACAGAGCTGGGGACAGGGACAGAGCTGGGGACAGAGCTGGGGACAGAGCTGGGGACAGGGGACAGAGCTGGGGACAGAGCTGGGGATGGGGACAGAGCTGGGGACAGAGCTGGGGACAGGGGACAGAGCTGGGGACAGAGCTGGGGACAGAGCTGGGGACAGGGGACAGAGCTGGGGACAGAGCTGGGGACTGGGGACAGAGCTGGGGACAGAGCTGGGGACAGAGCTGGGGACAGAGCTGGGGACTGGGGACAGAGCTGGGGACAGAGCTGGGGACGGGGACAGAGCTGGGGACAGAGCTGGGGACAGGGGACAGAGCTGGGGACAGAGCTGGGGACAGAGCTGGGGACAGAGCTGGGGACGGGGACAGAGCTGGGGACAGAGCTGGGGACAGAGCTGGGGACAGAGCTGGGGACAGAGCTGGGGACAGGGACAGCACCCCTGGGAATGGCACAGGGTCAGCTGGGATTGAGGACAGAGCAGGGATGGCACAGGGGACAAGAGACAGTGCAGGGGATGGCACAGGGGGCAGGGGACAGTGCAGGGGACAGGGACAGCCCCCCCTGCAGTGGCAGGGGATAGGGGACAGGGCATTTTTCAGCCACCTGAGACTCACCCAGCCACAGCGCCCCGTCCGTGTCCAGCTGGGTGGCCCCGAGGGGCGAGGAGCCGGCGATGGGGGCCTCGTTCCCAACCTGCAGGGAGCCTTCCCTCTGCACCCTGCTCCCGAGGGGCAACAGCAGGGATTCAGCAACAGCAGGGATTCAGCAATGGCCCCCAGAGCCAGCCCAGAGCTGCTCCCTGCAAATCCTGACCCTGGGAACCACTGGGGGGCAGATTTTGGGATAATCTCCACCCCATTCCTGGGATATCCCCACCAGTAGGGCTGTAGTCACTTTATTTTTTCTGTATCTTAAACTCTAAAACTCTAAACTTTCCTTTACTTAACGTGTCTCTGCTTTAAACTCTAAATCCACATTCTCGCTTCTGGCACCTAAGTCTGGAAGCCTTTTCCACGGTCTCAGATCAAATCCTGAGTTTAATTCTAATCTTTGGCTTCCAGACCCAAAGTTCTGAGAGTTCTTATCCAAAGAGAGCTCCTTGGGGATAATGGGGCTCACCTGCCTCATTCCCAGCTTTTCCACCCTGATCCCAATCCTGATCCAGAGCCTGATCCCAAACCAGAGCCCGATCCCAATCCAGATCCAGATCCCAATCCAGATCCTGACCCCAGTCCAGATCCTGATCCCAATCCCAATCCCGATCCCAATCCCAATCCCGATCCCAATCCCGATCCCAATCCTGATCCCGATCCCAGTGCAGACCCTGCCCACAGTCCAGATCCTGATCCCAATCCCAATCCCAATCCTGATCCCAATCCCAATCCAGATCCTGACCCCAGTCCAGATCCAAGATCCCAATCCCGATCCCAGTGCAGACCCTGCCCGCAGTCCCGGCCCCGCTGATGCTGTGGCCGTGCTGACCTGGAGGCCCTGATGTGCACCCACTGGTTGGTGTTGACGGGCACGCTGGAGCGCAGGGTGACGGCCTTGGAGCCCAGGTCGTAGCTGAGCTGCACGCGGCCGTCCACGATGGCCAGGGCGATGTAATCCGAGCGCTCCAGCCCCTTCCCGCTCCACAGCAGCAGCCCCTGCGTCGCCTCCGTCTTGATGCTCAGCTCAAAGTGGTTGGACTGCAGGGCCTTCTCACTGCGGGGAAAGGCCATGGGCAGCTCCTCCTCCTCCTCCTCCTCCTCCTCCCCGGGAGATGAACCCCCCGCCTGTCCCCACCTGCTGCCCTAAAGGTGCCAGATCTTGGGATAATCTCCATCCCATTCCTGAGATTCACCCATGGGGTCTGTCCCCACCTGCTGCCCTAAAGGTGCCAGATCTTGGGATAATCTCCATCCCGACCCTGGGATACACAGGAAGGGTCTGTCCCCACCTGCTGCCCTAAAGGTGCCAGATCTTGGGATAACCTCCATCCCAACCCTGGGATACACAAGAAGGGTCTGTCCCCATCTGCTGCCCTAGAGGAGCCAGATTTTGGGATAATCTCCATCCTACTCCTGGGGTTGGGATACACAGGAAGGAGATTCTTTGGAGATTCCTTGCTTTTATCCTCATGGAGCACAAGGATCAATCCCTGCCAGCTGTGGCACAGAAGCCATGGCACCGTGGGGATGGTCACAGGAAGGGCATGGAGGCAACAAAACCTTTTCCCAAGGGAGGAGGAGGGAAGGACAGATGGGATTTTCCCCAGGTTGGAATCCTGATTCTTGCCTCTGGAACAGGCACGAGGCTCCTGGCCACAGCTGGAGTGGGACACACAGAGACACCACAGAGAGCTTTTTATTGCTGAGGGATGCTGCATGCAGGGGGTGGGACACAGCCCTGCTGTCCCTGCAGGGTCCCTCAGCCTTGGTGGCTCTTTGCTGTCCCTGCAGGGTCCCTCAGGCTGGGGCTGGTGGCTCTTTGCATCCCCCCTGTGCAGAGCTCATCCCTCATGGATAAAAGGCAGGACAGGGACACAGAGGACACACACAGGGACACAGGGACATGCTGAGGCACAGGCAGAGCAGGGGACAGGCACACCTGGGCACTCACCTGGGCTCCGAGGGGAAATCCAGCGCCTCGGGACTCGGATGGGAGAAAAGGGGAGCGAGCCATAAGCGAGGGGCAGCGAGGAGGCCCTTCCTGCCTTCCTTTTCCCTTTTCCCTTTCCCCTTTCCTTTCCTTTCCTTTCCCTAGAGCTTCCCCAGAGGAGGAAAAATCCACTTTTATGGGCACCAAATCCAGCATAGGGGTGTGGGAGAAGCACAGCCCAAAGTGGCTGGGAAAAGCCTGGGAAAAGGCTGGGAATGGTGACATTCCCTCTGCAGGGACACAAGGCAGCAGGGATGTGGCTCCGGGAGGGGACACAGGGACAGTTCTGAGCTCACATTGCTGGAGGGCACTGCCCAGCTTAGGAGGATGCTCAGGATAATCCTGAAATTCCTAAAAATCCCTTTGCAGCCCTTCCCAATGGTTTGGACATGCAGGTGGTGGCTCTGCAGCCCCCATGCACAGGCACAGCTCAGCCCCCAGAGCCCTGAGGGCACACAATGAGGTGGGATGGGATGGGATGGGACAGGCGGGGATCCCCCCAAATTCCCCCCTTCCCACAGCAGGGAATGCTCTGCATGGAGCAGGGAATTTTAGGATTCCTTTTAGGGCTTCCCTTCCACGCAGGACAGACCCACAGCAAATCTCAGCTGTGCAGGGATTGGGATTTCTCCCCATCCTCCTGCCCTGACCCTTTTTCTGACCCCTCATCCACACTGGAGATGTTTTGAGGGGTTCCACATCCACACTGAAAAAATCAAGGATCAGCACCCCCAGTTTTCCATCTCCAACACCTCAGGCTGCTGCTGCAGCAGGAAACCACAGGGATTTTCCTTCCCTGTGCTCATCCTTATTAAAACCATGCTTAAAAATTCCTCCCCCAGCCCTACCCTGAGCTGCCCCGGGGTTTGGGGTGACAATGGGGACGTGGGGTGAGGGTGGCAGGGCCGTACTTACGCTGGGATCTCATTGCTCAGGTGGCTTGGAAACAGAGAAACAGTGACATTGAGAAGGGACAGACAGACAGACAGAGACAGACACCCAGGGAGGGACAGACAGCAGCTCCACACGGACACCCCCCCCAGCAGGGCTGGGACACCGGGAATGGGACAGGCAGAAGGACCCAGGAGTCTCCTGAAGGAGGAAATTCCAGCCTGGAGGAGCTCAGGGGGAGCTCTGCTCATTCCCAGAGGGAATTCCCAAGGACAAGGAGGAATTCCCAGCCTGGAGCAGCTCTGCTCATTCCCAGAGGGAGCTCCCAAGGAGCAGCACATCCATGGCCAGCCCAGGGTCCTCCCCAGCCCGGGGTTGGGACAGTCCCACGTGTCCCATCCCTGAGGGACACTCAGGATCCACCCCCAGCCCATTCCCAGCCAGGCCTGGAGCTGGGAACCTGGGGGAAATCAAGAGGGGAGAGCCAGGAACATCCAGCCCCGTTTGGAGCTCCTGGATCCCAGCTTTTCCTCCCCAGATCAGCCCTGGTGGGGCAGGTACCTCTTGGTGATGCTGTTGTGGTACTCCAGGTACGTGCGGCCATCGAAGGCCACGGCCTCGGTGTCCCCGGCTGCCTTCTCGATGATCACTGGGGAGAGACAGGGAGGTGGGAAAAGAACAGCCAGGAAACCCAGGGAATTCCTGGGAGATGGGAAAGGAACAGCCAGGAAACCCAGGGAATTCCTGGGAGATGGGAAAGGAACAGCCAGGAAACCCAGGGAATTCCTGGGAGATGGGAAAAGAATGGCCAGGAAACCCAGGGAATTCCTGGGAGATGGGAAAGGAACAGCCAGGAAACCCAGGGAATTCCTGGGAGATGGGACAAGGACGGCCAGGAAACCCAGGGAATTCCTGGGAGATGGGAAAGGAACAGCCAGGAAACCCAGGGAATTCCTGGGAGATGGGAAAGGAACAGCCAGGAAAGGCTCCCCATGGCCACCTCCAACCCCCTGTGCCACCTCCACATTTCCTGTGGCATCTCCAGCTCCCCATGGCCACCTCCAACCTTGTGGGCCATCCCCAGCCCCCCGTGGCCCCCTCCAGCCTCCTGTGCCACCTCCACTTTGCCATGGCCACCTCCACCTTGCCTGTGGCACCCTCCTGTCCCCGTGGCACCCCAGCCCTGGTGGCACCCCAGCCCTGGTGGCACCCCAGCCCTGGTGGCACTCACCCTTCTCGCAGTGTGCCCCCGAGAAGCCCCTGTGGCAGGAGCACTGGTAGCTGCCCAGGCTGGGGCTGCAGGTGCCCCCGTGCTGGCACGGGTTGGGTTTCTGGGTGCAGGGGTGCCCCCGGAACGGGGACACCTCCCTGGCACTGCGGATGTTCTGCTCCTTCAGCACGGGCACGCCACCCACGGAGATCTGAGGGGCAGGAAGGGTCAGCCAGGAGCTGCTCAGGGCCAAAAAATCCAAAAACGGGGAATTCCCGTCCCTGGCAGCGTCCCAGGCAGGGCTGGATGGGCTGGGATGGTGGAAGGCGTCCCTGCCCATGGCACACGGGGAGCCTGAACGTTCCTCCAACCCAAACCAGGCTGGGATCTTCTGAGGGTCCATGGCCACCCACCTCTGGTGAGCCAGGGACACCAGGGGACACCAGGCAGTGGGGACAAGAGGAGATGCAAACCCATCCCTAGGCTGGGAACCCATCCCTGAGGTGAGAAACCACCCCTAAGATGATGGGAATCTATCCATAAAGTGGGAGTCCATCCCTAAGATGATGGAAATCCATCCCTAAGATGATGGAAATCCATCCCTGAGGTGATGGGAATCCATCCCTAGGGTGGGAATCCATCCAAGTGTTCCCAACCTCCCCTTCTGTTCCCCACTGGTGCCACTTTCCCATCACCAGGAAGCTCCCAGGTCCATCCCAGGACAGGTGGGACACTGGAATGACCAGCAGGACACTGGGCTGTCCCAGCTGGACACTGGAATGACCAGCAGGACCTCACCCTCTGCACAGCTCCCTCGAAGCCGCTGGAGATGGCAGCTGCTCGGGCCAGCCTGGAGAAGTTGGGGGCTCCCCCCACGTAGAAAGGCTCCTTCAGGTTCAGCACCATGTGAGGCACCTGGGGGAACAGGGGCAGCAAGGACAAGGTGTCAGCTCGTCCCTGCTGCCCCACGCAGGGCCAGGAGCTGGCCTCGATGGTCCTCGTGGCTCTCTCCGTTTGGGAGACTGATGATAATTTATTTTATGGTAATTTATTTGATGATATTTTATTTATGATTCCACGGATGGAGCCTCCAGGGAACCTCCTCATGCCAAGGACTGCCAGGTCCCTCCCCCAGCAGGCACCTGGGAAAGGTTTCCCCTGGATTGAATTTTTGGGGAGAGGCTCTTCCCGCACCCTCAGGCCTGGAGGGGGGCTCTGCTCTCGCGTGCCCCCCAAAATTGGGGTCCCCAGGCCTTGCTGAGAGCCCCTGTGGGGCTGAGGCTCAATCCCAGCCCGTTCCAGAGGGATCCAGCCTGGCTGCCCCAAGGTTTGAGGAGCAGGTCCAGGTTTTCTCCTGCACCCCATGGCTTGAGGAGGTTCTCCTGCACCCCACGTGGTGGTTCTGGAGGAGGAAATTCCCTCCTTGCTGTCACCAGCCTCAGGATTCCTGGGAAATCTCTGGGATGGAGGCAGGGCCACAGCAAGGACGGGGTGACATGGAGCACTAACTAATGCTTTGTGGGATTAACACAAAATAAATGACCAGATTAATTAATTGAAATGGTCCCAAAAACAGAAGGTGACAACTGGCTGGGAATGAAGGACTAAACTACAGGGATCCTAAACCAGATGGGGAAGATGAAAAACACAAAAATAGGAAGGAAAGGAAGGAGGGAGGTGCCAATGGCAGATGAGATGGAGGCGTGGGGGGGTCATACTTATCTGTACCTTACGGGATTTCTGGGATCCAGACAGCAGGGGAGGGGAAATACAAAGGAAAATCAAAGGGAGAGAGAAGAAAAAAAAAAAACAAAAAAAGAGAGAAAAGGGCCATCAGTGGGTGCCATTGCAACGGGCAGGGCTGCCACAGCCCCGCTGCCACCAGGGCTGGGTGGCTCTGGGGGTGGCAGGAGGGTCACTGCCACCCAGGGCTCTGCTCTGCTCAGAGAGGAGCTGGGACAGAGGAGAGTGAGGGCAGGAAAATGCCAGGTCGGGTTCTGGGGGTTTGGGGGTGAGCTCAGCAGCCAGCAGGGCTTTTCCTGCCTCCTCCTGGAGAGGGAGGGAAGGGAGCCCAGGAATGCAGGAAAGGGACCCCAGGAATGCAGGGATGGGACCCCAGGAATGCAGGGACAGCACAGGGAGGGACAGGGAGAGGCTGGAACTGCAGAATTCCCAGCTGAGAGAGAGCAGAGCAAGCACCAAGGGATGCAGCAGCAGGGCCTGGGGTTTTCCTGCTCCCTGAGCTCCTCTCACTGCTGGGGGCTCTTAATTAACCATTAATTACTGACCCAGGGGTGCCTCATGTGGCTGTTCCAACAGGGGACAGGTGAGGACCTGGAATAAGGGAGAGGGGTCCAGGAGAGGTGGGGGGCTCATCCAAGGTATCCCTGAAACCTGGCTGAGACCCTGGGCAGGGACAGGGGGGACAGGGGCTGCAAGGGATGCAGGGATCCTTCCCTGCCTGCTTCTCCACCCTCAAAGCCACAATTTAAACCCCAGAAACCGGAGAAATTCCACTTTTCCACCTTCATTCCACTCTTTCACCTTCAAATTCATGATTTAAAGCCCAGGAGCCTGAGAATTCCACTCTTTCGCCCTCAAATCCAGAATTTAAAACCCAAGAACCTGAGAAATTCCACTTCTCCCCCTTCAAACCCACAATTTAAAGCTCAGGAACCTGAGCCACTATTTAAAGCCCAGGAGCCTGAGAATTCCACTCTTCCACCTTCAAATTCATGATTTAAAGCCCAGGAACCCGAGAAATTCCACTCAAACCCACAATTTAAAGCCCAGGAACCTGAGAAACTCCACTCAAACCCACAATTTAAAGGCCGGGAGCCTCAGGAGCTCCTCCCCAGGAGAGCAGGGCAGGGCTGGGTCCCCCCACTCACCGGGGACTCCCCTGTCACCCTGTGGCCGTTGTTGACCCTCAGGACGCCCTTGCGGCCGCTCCTCTCCAGCAGGACACTGACCCACGTGTTCAGGGGCACGGGCTCCTTGCTCCTGAGGGGGGAAAAAAGCTTAAGAAACCTTCTAAAATCAGGCCTTGCTCAGCTGAATGAACATGTGAAGTTCCCATGAGAAAGAATCACAGGAATGAAAATCAGTTTGCAGAACAATCTGTTCTGGTAAGAAAAGCAGGCTTGCAGCTGTGGCAAATAAAAAGTCTGTGAGAATCTGTGAAGAAAATATTAAAAACATATAAAAATCATATTAAAAGTATAAAAATAAAAAAATGTAAAGATAATATCAAAAATATATCTCTCTGTGTAAAGAGTCTCAGCATGTACACACACAAGCACCTCCTAAGCAATGAACTGAGCAGCAAACAAGTTGAAATTAGAAAAAACACAATAACTGAAATTAGAAATTAAACACAGTAACTTGGAAAACTGGATAAAAACAGGTTGTAACATCAAAGTGAGGCTTTTGCTGCTGAAACTTTGAAAATTGTCATTATTTGCTGGTAATGTTATAAACTCTGCCCTCAGAACCTACAAAATCAGCCTGGAAAGGTGCCCGAGCAGGTGATGCTTTAAGTTTTGGCTTTTCTATTTTTAAGATTCTGTGCTGATGTCTCAGGTTGAGCAGGGCAGAGTGCCCTCAGTGCCCCCAGCACCCTCACCTGGGCAGTGCCCCCAATGCCCTCACCTGAGCAGGGCTGGCCCTTTGCCCAGGTCATATCTGTACTCCAGGTGGCCCTCGTGCAGTGCCAGGGACACAAAGTCCCCTTTGCCATCGGTCTTCTGGCCATTGTAGAAGATCATCCCGCTGGGCTTCTTGGCCAGGAACACCACCTCCATGGACATCTTGTCCCTGGGAGAGCAGGGGTGGGGTTATTGATTATTGATTGTGGCTTAGGGATTGTGGGTTAGGGATTACGGGTTATTGGTTATGGATTATGGGTTGTTGGTTATGGATTATGGGTTGTGGACTGGGGGTTATGGATTATGGATAATTGATTATGGATTTTGGATTGTGGGTTATGGATTGTGGATTGTGGGTTGTGGATTTTTATGGATTATTGATTATGGGTTATGGATTGTGGGTTATGGACTGTGGGATACAGATTGTGGATAATGGATTCCCTCCCATCCAGCTGCTCAGGATAACCCCGAGGCCGTGGGTGTGGCAGCCATGGCAGCCGTGCCAGCTGTGGGGTGCCCAGGGTGCTGTGGGTGGGGTTTGTCCCTCCGTGTCCCTGCACTCACTGCAGGTCGGGCACAAAGCTCTGCAGCCCGTTGAGCTCCAGGTAGGAGAAGCCGTTGAACTCGGGCAGGAAGGGCACGGACTGGTCCTGCTCTGTCACTGGGCACAAAGCGGGCAGCGTGAGGGACACGGGGCGTGGCAGGCGTCCCAAGGTCACAGCGGGCTGGGGACACCCCTGCTGCCCCACCTCGCTCGCACAGGTCCCCCTCACGGCCCACGGGGCAGGCGCACAGGGCCCCCCCGGCGGGCAGCACCAGGCAGGTGGCAGAGGCGTGGCATGGAGAGGGCTCGCACGGGTTCCTCTCGAAGGCACACGTGGGGCCTGCGGGACGGGGACATTGTCACCAACCTCCTGACACATGGCCCCAGGGTCCCCCATGTACTCAACATCCCCCATGGGCGTGTAGGCATCGAGGCACTGGCACAATGACCCCAAAAACTCCCACAGAACCCCCCAGAAATGGTGAAAATCCCACAATCCCCATCTCCGTACCTCAAAAACCCCCTCAGAACCCTGCAATGCCCATCCCATACCCCAAAAACCCCCTCAGAACCCCCCAGAGGGACGAAAACCTCACAATGCCCATCCCTATACCCCAAAACCCCCCTCAGCACCCCACAATGCACACCCCATACCCCAAAAACCCCCTCAGACCCCCTTGGTGCCCATGCCACACCCCAAAACACCCTCAGACCCCACAGTTCCCACCCCACACCCCAAAAACCCCCTTGGTGCCCACCTCATACCCCAAAAACCCCCTTGGTGCCCACCCCATACTCCAAAAACCCCACAACGCCCATCCCATACCCCAAAAACCCCACAGTTCCTACCCCATACCCCAAAAACCCGCTGGGTGCCCGCGCCGTACCCGTGTAGGCCTCGGGGCACTGGCAGTGGAACATGTCGTCCTCCCTGGCGTGGCAGGTGCCGCCGTGGTGGCAGGGGCTGGGCTGGCAGGGGTCGGTGCCACACTGGCCCACGGCCGTGGCGTACAGGACGTCGCTGGAGCCCTGGTGCAGCTCGTGCCCGCGGTTGTTGATGGCCAGGGCCCGCACGCAGCCCCGCAGGCCGCTCGTGGCACCCGTGCGCTCCGCCACCCTGAGGGGACGGGGGCACAGAGTTTGTCACCAAGGGAGTGGCAGGGCCCCCCTGTGCTCAGCCACCCTGAGGGGACAGGGGCACAGGGTTTGTCACCAAGGGAGTGGCAGGGCCCCCCTGTGCTCAGCCACCCTGAGGGGACACAGTGCCAGGGTTTGTCACCAAGGGAGTGGCAGGGCCCCAATCATGAGGGCAGCGCCACCCTCACAGTACCACACTCAAGGGGCAGTGCCACCCTCCCAGGGGCAGTGCCACACAAGAGTGCCACCCTCACAGGGCCAGTGCCCCCTCATGGGGCAGTGTCACACTCCTAGGCCCAGTGTCACCCTCATAGTAGACGTGCCACCCTTGCAGGCCCTGTGCCACCTCCCTGTCCCCGTGCCCCACTCCCAGTGCCACCCATCATCCCAGTGTCACCTCCCTGTCCCCGTGCCCCATTCCTAGTGCCACCCATCATCCCAGTGTCACCTCCCTGTCCCCGTGCCCCACTCACAGCTCCATGTGCTCGTGGGGCACTCCCCCGATGAAGAGCTCGGTGTCCAGGTTGAGCCCGTCGGTGCCCGGGGGGCTGTGCCCGCTCACTGGGGGCTCCCCGTCCACGGCCAGCGTCCCCGTGCGCCGGTTCCGTGTCACCAGCAGCCGGTGCCAGCGCCCCGGCTCCACCGGCACGCGGCTGGTGACCGTGCCCGTGCCAGAGCCCGTGTCAAACCTGACAAAACACGGCCTTGGTGTTCTCCAAGGTGCCAGCTGGGCTGTGCCAGGCGTGACTGGCACTGGGAGCACTTGGGGACCCCCTTCTTCCCTCCCTCCTTCTCTCCCTCCCTCTTTCCTTCCCTTCTCTCCTCCTTGTCTCCTTCCTCTCCCTCTTTCTCTTCTTCCCTCCCTCCTCTCCCTCTTTCTCTCCTTCCCTCCCTCCTTCTCTTCTTGTCTCCTTCCCCTCTCTCCTCTCCCCCTCCCTCTCTCTCCCCTTCCTTCATCTTTGCCCCTTTCTCTCCCCATCTTTCCATCTCTCTTCCTCTCCCTCCCCCTCCCTCACTCCAAACCCGTATCCGTTGGATTCTGGAAAACAAAAAAAGCCACTCTGGCTCTTTCCTCCCTTCCCTTTCCCCCCCCCCCCCCTCCACATTTCTCATCCCAGTTAAAAAAAACCCTACCAAAAAAAGATGTCTCAAAAAACCCCCAAACCTGCCAAAAAAACCCCAAACCTGCCAAAAAACCAACCTGCCAAAAAACCCAACCTCCCACACTTCAGAGCTTTTTGAACTCACTCAAAGTTAGTTCACTTCACTGAAAAGAAGGAATGAGCTCCCTCAGTATTCCAGCCACACACACCCCAAAAAATCCTGATTTTTGTCCACTTTGAGGCCTTTTAGGATGCAAATTCCCTGTCCTAGGGCTCACCTGAGCTCAGCCACACCTGATTCCAGCCACATCCCTCCCCCCAAAAAAATCTGATTGTTGTCCACTTTTGAGGCCTTTTAGGGTGCAAATTCCCCCTCCTGGGTCCAGAGACTCACCTGAGCTCGTGCTCCCTCAGTATTCCAACCACATCCCCCCAAAAAATAAAGAAATCCCAATTTTTGTCCACTTTTAGGATGCAAACTCCCTGTCCTAGAGCTCACCTGAGCTCAGCCACACCTGATTCCAGCCACATCCCTCTCCCCCAAAAAAATCCCGATTTTTGTCCACTTTTGCGGCCTTTTAGGACAGAAATCTCCCCCGCTGGGATGCCAGCTCTCCCTGCTGGGACACCACTGCCCCTTGGGGACACAATCCCCTGGCAGCCTGACCTGAGCTCCACGAAGCCCCCGAGCAGCGCCAGCGAGATGAAGTCCTTGCCGTGGCGCTGGGCGTTGTAGAGGAGCAGCCCCCGGGGCTCCAGCGCGCGGAACTCCAGGGAGATCCTGACCGTGTGGTAGGCGCGCATGGTCCGGAACGCCAGCACCGAGGAGCCCCCGAAACTGGGCATGGACCCGCCCGGGGCTGGGGGAAACAGCGGGAAATGGGGGCAGAAATGGGGGGGAAAGGGGAGGAGAACAGGGGAAGAAAGGGGGAGAGAACGGGGAGAGAACAGGGGGAAGAGAGGGGGAAAAAAGGGGGGGGGGAAAGGAGGGGGAATGGGGGGGAATGGAGGAAAAGGGGGAAAAATGGGGAGGAGAACAGGGGAAAAAAGGGGGCAAAGAATAGGGGGAAAGAATGGGGGGAGAACAGGAGGGGAAAGGGGGAAGAGAGGGGGAAAAAGGGGAAAACGGGGGAAAAGGGGGAAAAATGGGGGAAATGGGAGGGGAAAGGGGGAAGAAAGGGGGAGAAACGAGGCAGAGGGGGGGAAGAGGGGAGAAGAGAGTGGGGAAAGAAAGGAAGGAAGAAGAAAGAAAGGAAGAAGAAAGAAAGGGGGGGGAAAAGAGGGGGGAAAGCAGGGGAAAAAGGGGGCGAAAAGGCGACTTTTATTGAGCTTGGATTTATGAAAAGGGAAACTTGTTTGTGCCTCCCTTGAGGAGATCTGGGACTCCAAATCCCATTAAACCAGCAGGGCTGGACACCCACTGTCATTTTCCAAGGGATTTGTGAGATCAAATCCCATAAAACCAACAGGGCTGGACAGCCACTGATGTCTTCCATGGGATTTGGGAGGTCAAATCCCATTAAACCAGCAGAGCTGGACACCCACAGCTTGCAGAGCTCCAGGTGAGTGGGTTTTTAGCTGTTTTCCCATCTCTGGAAATGCCCCAATCCAGCCTGGCACAACCTGGCACAGGGTGGGTGGCATCCTACCCACATCAAAGGACGGGAAGTGACTTTTAAGCCCCCAGATTTGTGATTTCTCACATCACCACCTACATTTCTCACAGAGAGCCCCTCCTGTGCCCGCGGGGCAGCTGCAGGTGAAGTGGTGCCCGTCGTCCTGGCAGGTGCCACCGTGCAGGCAGGGCTGGGACTCGCAGGGCCGTGCCAGGGCCGTGCCAGGGGGCAGCTGGGTGGGCTTCATCCTCCTGCTGCTGCCAGGGCTGCGGGTGGTGCTGCCCCCGGGGCTGTGGGTGCTGCCCCCGGGGCTGCGGGTGGTGCCAGGGCTGTGGGTGCTGCCCCCGGGGCTGTGGGTGCTGCCCCCGGGCTCGCCGTGCTGCCCCAGGGCCGCGGTGGCCGCGGGCGCCCTGCGTGTGGTGCCAGGGGCCATGGTGGTGGCCGTGGTGGTGGTGACGGTGGTGGTGAAGAGCCGGGGGATCCAGTCTGGAACACAGCAGGGATGGGGTCAGCTGGGGGCACTGGGGGCAGATGGGGGGGTTGGGGGCAGATGGGGGCACTGGGGGCAGATGGGGGGGGTGGTTTTAGGGTCAGATGTGGGATAAGGTTGGGGTCAGGTATGGGTTAGGGTTAGGGTCAAGTGTGGGTCAGTTTTAGGGTCAGGTATGGGTTAGGTTTAGAGTCAGGTGTGGGTTAGTTTTAGGGACAGGTGTGGGTTAGGGTCAGGTATGGATCTGGGTTAATGTTAGCATTAGGGTTAGTGTCAGGTATGGGTTAGTTTTAGGGTTAGGTTTAGAGTCACGTGTGGGTTAGTTTTAGGGTCAGGTGTGGGTTCAGGTATGGGTTAGTTTTAGGGTCAGGTGTGGGTCTGGAAGTGTCCAAGCACCCTCTGGAAGATCGCTGCCCATGTCCAGACCCCTCTAAGGTCCCTCCCAACCCCAAACATTCTGGGACCCACCTGGGGAAGCTTTTGAGGGGTTGGCAAGACCAGCAGAGCCCCCCTGGCATTCTGAAACCCCAAAGCCAGCGAGGGGGACTCACCAAAGTCCATGAATTTGATGTGCTCCTGCTGGGGCCTCTTCACCAGGATGGTTTTTCTCTTGGCAGCTCGGAGCTGCTTCAGCAGGGCCCCCTGGACATCAGTGGCCGTGTAGGACGTGGCTGAGCCCAGCCAGGAGGGCAAAGGAGGGGAGCAACAGTGAGCATTCCAACAGGAATTTCCTTCCCATGACCTCCCCAAACCCCTCCTTTCCCAAGGAAATAATCCTTCTTTCCAAGGAAAATAATTCTCCTTCCAAGGAAAATAATCCTTTCCCAATGAAACTAACTCTCCTTTCCCAAGGAAAATAATACTCTGTCCCAAAGAAAATAACCCTCCTTTCCCAAGGAAAAGAAACCTCCATTCCCAAGGAAAATAATCCTCCTTTCCAAGGAAAATAAGCCTCTATTCTCAAGGAAAATAAACCACCTTTACCAAGGAAAATGACTCTCCTTTCTTAATGAAAATAATCTTCCTTTCCAATGAAAATAATCTTCCTTCCCCAAGGAAAATAATCCTCCTTCCCAAGGAAAATAATCCTCCTTCCCAAGGAAAATAATCCTCCTTCCCAAGGAAAATAACTCTCCTTTCCAAGGAAAATAATCCCTCCATTCCCAAGGAAAATAACCCTCCTTTCCCATGGAAATAATCTTCCTTTTCCAAGGAAAATAATCCCTCAATTCCCAAGGAAAACAATTCCTCCTTCCCAAGGAAAACCCTTCCAGCTTCCTTAGTGTGCAGCTCCTCCCATCTCCGCTCACACAGAAATTTTGCAGGATAAAAGACCCAACCCCAATGAATTTTAGGATGGTTCTTCCCTTCTCCTCCCCAGCCAGAATTCCCTCTGGGAATGGCCCCACCTGGGTCAAAGTGAGCCTCCACGATGACCCTGACGGCGCTGCTCTGGCCCAGGTCCCGCACTCGGATGCTCCTGAAATCCTTCCTGACATCAGAACCCCGGAACAGCTCGTCCAGCTGGGGAAGGAAAGGGTTAACGGGAAGATCCTGGCACGGGGATCCTGCCAGGGAAAGATCCAGGATAGGATTCGCTTCCCAGCCTTTGCAAGGCAGCCCGGTGACAGGGAGGGGACAGGGGACAATTCCAGCTGCTCTTCAGGGCCAGGGGAAGAACAGGATCCACAAATAAAATGGGACAGGGATGTTCTGTGACAGTTCCAGCTGTGCTTTAGGACCAAGGCAAGAACAGGATCCACAAATAAAATGGGACAGGGATGTTCTGTGACAGTTCCAGCTGTGCTTTAGGACCAAGGCAAGAACAGGATCCACAAATAAAATGGGACAGGGATGGGCTGTGACAATTCCAGCTGTGCTTTAGGGCCAAGAAAAAATGGGATCCATAAACAATTCCAGCTGTTCTCTAGGGACAAGGCAAGAACAGGATCCATAAATAAAGTGGGACAGGGATGTTCTGTGACAGTTCCAGCTGCCCTTTAGGGCCAAGGGAAGAATGGGATCCATAAATCCATTGGGACAGGGAACCATCGTCCATTTTGTGACCATTTGGGTTCATCTTGAGCGTAGGCCCAAGGTGTATCCATTGAGGAGATCCTTTTAACAAACCCCTGCTCCACTGTGTCCCAGAACTCTGTTCTGGGGCAGCCCCTCAGGGCACCAGCAAGGTCCCCTTGGTGCCAGCTGTGCCCCCACCAGGGGCACGGAGCTCACCGCGCTCTCGATGCTCCGCGCCGTCTCCCCGAAGAGCTCGGATTTGGGGTCGGCCATCTCCGGGGTGTAGAACAGCTCCTGGCCCTCCACCTCCTCCAGGATCAGCACTCCTTGGAACACTTTGGTGGCTGCGGGAGGAGGGAACACAAGACAAAGCCCTTGAGCTGGGCAGGGGCGGCGAGGGAGCGCCGCGGTCCCTGGCAGGGGGGATGGCAGTGTGGGGGTAGTGCCAGTGCCGGGTTAGTGGGGATGGGACGGGCACAGCCATGGAGGATTAGTGCTGGAGCAGATGGCAAGGACCAGGCTGGAGATGGCAGCTTTTACCAGACGGGTTCCTGCGAGCTCCGGCGCGGAGAGCAGCCCCCCTGCACCGCTGGGTGACAAGAGAGACACGTTAGAGGACAGGGGACACGCCAGGGCCCGGGGCACCCACGGGCACCCACGGGGCACTGCCCGGGGCTGGGGGCCAGGGGGACACAGGGCAACCACAGCCCTGCCAAACCAGCCTGGAGCTGCAGCAGGAGTGCCAGGGCTGGATCCTGCCCTGGGGCTGCAGAGGATGGAGAGATCCCGCTGTGGGAACCACACAGGAGGTTCCTCTTCCTTTCCATTTTCCCTTTTTCTTCCCCTTTCCCTCTCCCTTTCTCTTTTCCCTTCTGCTTTTCCCTTTCCCCTTTCCTTTTCCATTCCCTTTCCCTTCACACAGGGCTGTCCTTTATGGGTTAAAAGGGAAAGTGCTGGTTTTTTTTCCTAGAGGCAAAGGGGATGTCCCACTAGAAACCCCAAGGAACAAGGAAGGACTTGAGTGAGGAAAAATCTGGGACATGGCCCCTGAGGAACAATTTTCAGGATAACGAAGATATTCTGACAGAGCAGAGGTGGGGCTGTGCTTCCTCAGATTGCAGGGAGGAGGAGAAATCCCAGCGGGATCAGGGGACAGCAAACACCCCCAGGAAGTGATCCCAATTCTTCCTCCAGCCCCAAATCCACCTGGGCAGTTCTGTGTGTCACTCCCCTTGAGAGATCCCAATTCCTGACCCCAAAGGGATCCCAAACCAGCCCCAAATCCACCCAGAGAGCTCTGTGTGTCACCCCCCTTGAGAGATCCCAAACTCCTGACCCCAAAGGGATTCCAACCCTTCCTCCAAGTCCCAAATCCAGCTGGGCAGTTCTGTGTCCTCCCACCCTGAGGGATCCCAAACTCCTGACCCCAAGGGACCCCAAGGGACCCCAGTCCCCCATTCCAGTCTCACCGGGGCAGTTGGTGCCCTCGCTGTCGGCGGCTGCGGTTTTGCCGTCGGAGCAGCAGCCCAGGGCGCTGTTGTAGCACGTGGCCCTCTCGATGGCAGGCGTGGGTGGCACCTGGCCCTCGTCAGGCTCCTCCTCGCCTGGGGGACAGACGGGGACACCCAGCAGTGACACCTCTGCATGGCACCCGCCCTGCTCGTGGTGACACCCAGGGCGGGGCTGAGGACACCGGGGGACAGCCCCCAGGGGCCTGGGGACACTCGGTGTGGCATTGCCCAGGGGACACTGAGCATGGCACTGCCCTGGGGACACTCAGTGTGGCATTGCCCAGGGGACACTGAGCATGGCACTGCCCAGGGGACACTCAGTGGCATTGCCCAGGGGACACTCAGGGGCACTGCCCTGGGGACACCCAGGGGCACTGCCCTGGGGACACTGAGCATGGCACTGCCCAGGGGACACTGAGCATGGCACTGCCCAGGGGACACTCAGGGGCACTGCCCAAGGGACACTGAGCATGGCACTGCCCTGGGGACACTGAGCATGGCACTGCCCAGGGGACACTCAGTGTGGCATTGCCCAGGGGACACTCAGAGCCCCCCCAGAGCCCCGGGGGTGGCACTCACCAGCAGATCCTGCCCCGCTGGCCTCCTGGTCCCCGCTGGCGCCCATGTCCTGGTCCCCGCTGCCCTCGGCGCTGCCGGACTCGCTGTAGCCGGGCTGGCTGGTGGCCGCCACCACGGGGACAGTGGCCAGCGGGCGGATGGTGGCCTTGTGCACGCCGTGGGTGACCCAGGCCGTGGTGGTGGCCGGCCTGGCCGTTGTCACACGCCTGGTGGTGGGGTGGCCCCGCTCCGTGGGCCTGGCTGGCGGCAGGGACGGGCTGGTGGCCGCCCCCGTGGGCAGGGGGGACCGCGGGGTGGCCCCAGGGGGCGCGGGCAGCTCCGGGGGCACCGTGGGCAGCGGCGTGGGGGGCACCGGGGGGCTCGTGTGGGTGATGGACTCTGCAGGGACACAGACACAGAGGTGAGGGGGTGGCACTGGGAGGGGGGGACAAAGCTTGGGAAGGGCAGCTGCTGTGCCAGGGGATGTCCTGTGGGGTGGCAGGGCCAGCCTGAGGACATGGGGCTGACACTGCCCTGGGGACACTGAGTGGCACTGCCCCAGGGGACATTGAGTGTGGCACTGTGCAGGGGACATTGAGTGTGGCACTGCCCCGGGGACACTCAGTGGCACTGCCCCAGGGGACACTCACCATGGCACTGCTCTGGGGACACTCACCATGGCACTGCCCAGGGGACACTCAGTGGCACTGCCCCAGGGGACACTCACCATGGCACTGCTCTGGGGACACTCAGTGGCACTGCCCAGGGGACACTCACCATGGCACTGCCCCACATGCTTGACCGTGATGTGCTGGCCCTGCCTGCAGGCGATGGTCCGCAGCTGGCACTGGTCCCCGTAGGTGACACCATCAGAGCCACATACCTGGGGACACAGGGGACACCGGAGCTGCACCTCTGGGCACCTCCCAGTGACACTAATGGGTCACTGGGAATGATGGCAGCGTTTTTGGGGGGCTCCTTTGGGGCACAGAGTGACCCAGGGCGGCTCAGGAGTGCCAGGGGACATCTGTGACCCGTGTGTCCCCCTTGCCCAGCAGGGAACAGCTCCTGCAGGATTTTGTGTCCCACCCCAAAGCCCCCCAGAGGGGTGTCCCCAAACCTTGGTGGTGTTGGCCTCGGGGCACAGCGGGGACGGGCACTCGCAGTGGGCGAAGCCGTTCAGCTCCACGCACGAGGCCCCGAAGTCACAGCTCAGCTCCTTGCACGACCTGGGGGCTGAGGGGTCTGGGCAGGGAGAGAGGGATCCGGGAAAACATCCCAGTTAGGCAGGAGCCAAAACCCCAAACAGACAGGAGCCAAAACCCCAAACAGACAGGTGCCAAAACCCCAAACAGACAGGTGCCAAACCCCCAAATTCACAGGACCCAAAACCCCAAATAGACAGGAGCCAAACCCCAAATAGACAGGAGCCAAAACCCCAAACAGACAGGAGCCAAAACCCCAAACAGACAGGAGCCAAAACCCCAAACAGACAGGTGCCAAAATCTCAAATAGATAGGAGCCAAACCCCAAATAGACAGGACCCAAACCCCACATAAACAGGACCCCAAACAACCAGGACCCCAAATGCCAAATACAGAGGACCCAAACCCCCAAATAAACCCAAATAAACAAGACTCCAAACCCCAAATAAGCAGGACCCAAAACCCCCAGTACTGCAGGACCCAAACCCCAAATAAGCAGGACCCAAACCCCAAACCAGCAGGAGCCAGGGCCCCTCACCCTTGTGGCAGCCCGTGGTGCCCAGGCTGCTGCCGTCGGAGCACTGGGTGCACTTCATGCCCGTGATGCCCGTCCTGCAGGAGCACAGCCCCGACATCTGCTCGCAGTCATCCCGCACCGAGCCCACAGGGTCACAGTGGCACGCTGCAACGGGGACAGGGCACGGCGTGGGGACGGGGGACAGCAGGTATGGGGTGGGGAATGGGGGAAAGAACACAGTTATGGGGTGGGAAAGGGGAATGAACACAGTTATGGGGTGGGGAAAGGAGAAAGAACACAGTTATGGGGTGGGAAAGGGGAATGAACACAGTTATGGGGTGGGGAAGGGGAAAATGCAGTTATAGGGTGGGAAAGGGGGAAGGGGGGCCTGACAGCCATGTGGGAAGGGTGGTGGTGATGTGCCATCCCTGTCCCTCAGGGAAGTGTCCCACCCCTGTCCCACCCTTGGGCAGTGTCCCCTCACTGTCCCTGTCCCCGTCACTCACGGGTGACACCCCTGTCCCTCAGCAGTGTCCCCTCACTGTCCCTGTCCCCGTCACTCACGGGTGACACCCCCGTCCCTCAGCAGTGTCCCCTCACTGTCCCTGTCCCCGTCACTCACGGGTGACACCCTGTTCCCCTCAGCAGTGTCCCTCACTGTCCCTGTCCCCGTCACTCACGGGTGACACCCCCGTCCCTCAGCAGTGTCCCTCACTGTCCCTGTCCCCGTCACTCACGGGTGACACCCCTGTCCCTCAGCAGCATCCCTGTCCCCGTCACTCACGGGTGACACCCCTGTCCCTCAGCAGTGTCCCTCACTGTCCCTGTCCCCATCACTCGCAGGTGACACCCCCGTCCCTCAGCAGTGTCCCTCACTGTCCCTGTCCCCGTCACTCACGGGTGACACCCCAGTCCCTCAGCAGTGTCCCTCACTGTCCCTGTCCCCGTCACTCACGGGTGACACCCCCGTCCCTCAGCAGTGTCCCTCACTGTCCCTGTCCCCGTCACTCACGGGTGCAGCCGCTGCGGCCGTCGGTGACGATGCCGCGGAAGTTCCAGAAGCCGGGCTCGCAGCGGTCGCACTTGAGGCCGCCCACGCCGGGCTTGCAGGAGCACTGCCCCGTGCCCGGGTCACAGGAGCCACCGTAGGAGCCGTAGGGGTTGCACTGGCACGTGCCTGAGGGCAGGGACACAGGGGACACCCGTGTCACCACCCCGTGTCACCCCTGCTCTCCTCCATCGGCCCCCGGGCTGTCACGAGGAGCTCGATGCCATCAAGAGCTCATCTCTCATTAACATCAAAGGGGAAGGAAGCTATTAGAGGGTGATTATTAATTCATTAACGAGCAGCTTGATGGAGGGGAGGCAGCCAAAGATAGACAGGCAGGCGCTGTCCTTGTCCCAGCGGGGAGGTGACAGAAAGGGACAGAGAGGGGCACAAAGGGACACCTGGGGAGCAGTGGGGAGGGGGCGAGGACACCCCAGGAGCAGGGAAAGGGAAAGTCCATGGATAAACCCGGCCCAGGGGGCTCAAACTGCTCCTTGAGTGGTGAGGGACACGGGTGGGACACGGGGGGACACGGGTGGGACACAGACTGGTGACATTGGATTTCCATTGGAATCATCAGTCCATGGATTTCATGGATGGGGGAACAGGATTTCCACCAGAAAACCCAAAGATCATCACAGCCAGAGCGATGGAAATGCTCCTGTCCCCTGGAGCATCCCCCTGGACAACACCCCCACAGCTCCTGCAGCCGCTCCCATTATCCAGCTGCTTTCCCCCCATTATCCAGGTGTTTTTCCCCCCATTATCCAGCTGCTTTTTCCCCATTATCCAGCTGCTTTTTCCCCCATTATCCAGCTGTTTTTTCCCTCCATTATCCAGCTGTTTTTTCCCTCCATTATCCAGCTGTTTTTCCCCCCATTATCCAAGCTGCTTTTTCCCCATTTTTCAGCTGATTTTTCCCCCATTATCCAGCTGATTTTTTCCCATTATCCAGCTGTTTTTCCCCCATTATCCAGCTCTCCCTGCTCAGCATTACCCCACCCTGGAGTTGTGTCTCCACGGCTGATGTTTCCCCCATCAGGCAGCCACAGCCTCAGCTGTTGAGAGCCTTTCAAAATGCTCCTGCTGGCTTGGATAATTAGTGAATAAATATTAATGAGCCCCTGGCCAGCTCAGCTTCCTGCACAGGGGGTCACCCAGCTGTCACTGGGCCTCTGCAAGGTCTCAGGTGACACCTTTCCCTCCGTGGAATATTCCTGTCACTCTGGCAGGTGGAAATGCCTGAGCCCAGTAATGGGCTGAAGGCACCGAGGCCCTGGAGGCACCTCTGGGGACACCCAAAGTGTCCCCTCCAGCATTCCCAAGGGATTGAGGCCTGGGAGGTGGCTCAGGGATTCTGGAGGATCATCAGTGGAAGGCTGTGGGGCAGGAGGGGTCAAGTCCCTTCTCCCAGGGACAAGGGACAGGACCAGAGGAAAAGGGGAGGCTCAGGGTGGATATTTGGGAAGATTTGTTCACTGGAAGAGTGGTCAGGGTTTGGAATGGGCTGCCCAGGGAAGCAATGGAATCACCAACCCTGGAAATGCTCAAAACCCTGAGCATGAGGCTCAGGGGTGGCGTGTGACACTTGGGGACGGGATTTTGTGACCACAGTGGTGCTGCAGCTCAGGAGGGCTTTTCCACCTTGAATATCCCACCATCCTACATCTGGGGGGTGTCCAGCTTCATCTCCTGGGGCCAGCACCCCAGATCCTGCCCAGCCCCTGTGAGGGTCCCCGGGGGTGGCACTCACTGGGACATCCAGCAGCTCCCACGCCCAGCGCCAGGGTGACGTTGTCGGGGCAGCAGCCGTAGACGCTCTGGCTGCAGTGCACGACCAGCAGGGGTGGCGGGGTGGTGGCCAGGGCTGCGGGGGGGACACAGGGGTCACCTCGGCACCCAGGATCCCGCAGCAGTCCCATAAATCCTCCAGGAGATGCTGGGAACTGGAGGGGAGGCCCAGGGGACAGCAGAGCATGGGGACAGGGGGTGGAATTCCTGCTTATGGCCAGGGAAAGGACAGCAGGGACACAGCTGGGGACAGAGCCAGCAGGGAGGGGTGGCTGCCTGCAGGGGACATGCCCGGGGACACACCTGGGGACACACCCAGTGACACACCCAGCAGGGAGGGCATGGCTTCATTTAGGGGACACACCCAGGGACACACCCAGTGACACAATGAGGGACACACCCAGCAGGGAGGGCGTGGCTTCCTTTAGGGGACATAGCTGGGGACACACCCAGTGACACAATGACGACACACCCAGCAGCGAGGGCGTGGCTTCCTTCAGGGGACACACCCAGGGACACACCCAGTGACACAATGAGGGACACACCCAGCAGCGAGGGCGTGGCTTCCTTCAGGGGACACACCCAGGGACACACCCAGAGGGGGGATGGCCTCCCCAGGGGACACCCCCAGAGCGGGGATGGCCTCCCCAGGGCACTCACCCCGGCAGGCTCCCTGGCTGGTGACCAAGAGCTCCTGGCGCTTCTCACACCGCGTCTTCTTCAGCTCGCACTCGTTGCCGTAGGTGACGCCGTCAGAGCCGCACACCTGCCAGCAGCAGGGCCAGGGCACGGCTCAGGGCAGCCCCTGGCAGGGCTGTGCCAGCCAGGAGAGGACAGAAGGAGGGCAGGGCTCACCGGGCTGCGGGGCACGGCCACGCAGGTGAAGTCACAGACGCAGGGCTCGTCCTCGGCGTCCTCGTCCCACCAGCCCCCGAAGTGGCGGCAGCGCTCCTGCTCACACTCACTGCCATCCCCCGAGCCTGAGCCTCCTGAGCCACACTCTGGGCACACAGAGAGAGGAAAGGAAAGGGTTCAACCCCTGAGCTTGGCTCCTGCTCACACTCACTGCCATCCCCCAAGCCACACTCTGGGCACACAGAGAGAGGGAAGGAAAGGGTTCAATCCCTGAGCTTGGCTCCTGCTCACACTCACTGCCATCCCCTGAGCCTGAGCCTCCTGAGCCACACTCTGGGCACACAGAGAGAGGAAAGGAAAGGGTTCAATCCCTGAGCTTGGCTCCTGCTCACACTCACTGCCATCCCCCGAGCCTGAGCCTCCTGAGCCACACTCTGGGCACACAGAGAGAGGGAAGGAAAGGGTTCAACCCCTGAGCTTGGCTCCTGCTCACACTCACTGCCATCCCCCGAGCCTGAGCCTCCTGAGCCACACTCTGGGCACACAGAGAGAGGAAAGGGTTCAACCCCTGAGCTTGGCTCCTGCTCACACTCACTGCCATCCCCCGAGCCCCCTGAGCCGCACTCTGGGCACACAGAGAGAGGGAAGGGGGTTAGGGTTAGGGTGACGTGGAGCTGGGGAAGGGCTGGGATTTGGGGCTGGGATTTGGGGCTGGGATTTGGGGCTGGGATTTAGAGGACTGAAGCCCCTGGGGCTCTGCAGGATGAGCTGCAGCAGCAGCAGCAGAGCTGTGGCTGATTTCAAAGGCTGCTGGAAGGGGAGAAGGGATGGGGGAAGGGGAACCTGGCCCTTTCTCTGGTGTGATCAAAGGCTGGGCTTTGGCATTACACACAGAATTATTCAGGCTCTGCCTGAGGAGGGACAGCAACCTGAAATCCCCCGAGCAGGGCTGTGATCAAACACCCTGCTCTGCCTTCTGCCTCAGCTCTGCCCTGCTCTGACGTCCTCCCCCACGTGTGCCAGGCAACCTCAGCTCCCTCCCTGTGCCAGCAGGAGCCCACAGCTTCCCCTGAGTGGGAAAACTCTGCAGGTTCTTTATTTTTAGGCTCACCAAGCCGACCCCAAAACCTTCCCTGGAGCTCTGCTGAGGCAACAGAGCCATGGGATGGGAGGGGTTGGAAGGGAGCTTAAAAATCATCCAGGACCAAAGCCCTGCCAGGGGCCAGGGATGGCACTGGAGAGGGAAAATTTACATTGGATGCAGAGACAGGACAAGGGGGAATAGGTTCCAACTGAAAACCAGTAAATTTAGGTGGGATATGGGGAAAAAAATCCTCCCTGTACTTTGGCTAGAATTTGGCTAGAATAAAAAACTGGGATAGCAGAATGGGGGCTGGAACTGGAAGGGGGCTGGCGCAGGACTGGGGGTGCTGGGGGTCCTTTGGGCAGTGAGGGAGGCATGGCTGGCACAGGATCTGCTATTTTGGGGGGGTTTGGGGTCTCACAGGGCACAGAGGAAGCACAGCTGGCACAGGATCTGCTGTTTGGGTGGTTTTTGGGGTCTCACAGGGCACAGAGGGACAGTGAGGGAAGCATGGCTGGCACAGGATCTGCTGATTTGGGTGCCTGGGGTCTCCCAGAGCACAGTGGGGTCCTGTGGGGCACAGAGGGAAGCACGGCTGGCACAGGACCTGCCGTTTTGGGGTGTCTGGGGTCTCACAGGGCACAAAGGAAGCATGGCTGGCACAGGACCTGCTGCTCTGAGGGGGTTTAGGGTCTCACAGTGCACAGCAAATGAAGCTCCCTCCCTCCTCCTTCCCTTTCCCCCAGCCCCTGCAGAACCAGGGCCAGCCTACCGTCCTCACAAGGTCCCATCCTGGCCACCTCGATGCTCTTCTGCAGCTGGCACGAGGCCTCCTGCAGCTGGCAGGGGCTGCCGTAGGTGACGCCGTCGGTGCCGCAGACGGGGGCCGGGGGCTGGCGCTGGCAGCGCGGGCACAGGCACTGCCCGGCCACGCAGCGGCTGCCAAAGGAGCACACGGAGCTGCCACACGACTCTGGGACACAGGGAGGGACACGCTCAGCCCCCCGAGCGGCGCCCGCGGCCGCCAGGGTGCTGTCACTGAGCTGGGACCCTTATCGCTATTAATTCGTTATTAATTTAATTTGTTACTCCTTATTTAATCCGTGCAAACTGGATGCCCACCCTGAGTATTCTGGATACCCGGCAGCTCTTTCTGGAGGGAAATAAATCCCATTTCATCATCTATTCTGGGAGGCAGCTGCCACCCTCAGCCATCCTCCCCCAAATTGTTGGGGAATCTCAGCCCAGCTGGACAGGTTTGTATGAGGCTGAAATCATCACCACAGCTTTTGTAATAATGAAGGAGCTGAGCAGGGCTTTTAATTCATTAAGAAATTAGCCCAGACAGCTCCACGGGCTGGGGAGTGGGGAGGAAAGGAGGAACAAAGAGGAATTGACCCCAGGGGATGGAGGGGAGGGAGGGGATCAGACACAGCCCTACTCTCACTTCTGCTGCTGGCTGTTAACACATTTTTATCCTAATTCCTACCCTGGCCCCATGGACATTAATCCAATTTCTCTGCTTGGCTCAGACAAATAACACAGGGGGCACTTCCAGCGAGATGGGGGCAAACCAAACCAAAGCTGCTGGGGAGCCTGGAAATATCAAATTATCCCCCAGGTAAAAGGGAAAATCACCCAGGCAGGGCGTGAGAGCGACCAAATCCGCGCAATGGAGCAGCGGGGCTGAGCACTGGCGACACAGGGGACAAAGAGGGGAACAAAGAGGGGGACAAAGAGGGGGACACGGTGACACTCACTGCAGTGGCCCTGGGCAGCCACCAGGATGTCCTTCTGCTGGGTGCAGGCCCTGACGTGCAGCTCGCACTCGCTGCCGTAGGTGTTGCCGTCGGTGCCGCAGACGGGCTGCGCCGAGGGCACGCACTCGGTGGGGCACACGCAGCGCCCCGTCTCTGCCTCACAGATGGCACCAAACTGGCACTTCCCGCAGGGCTCTGGGCACGGCAGGGCAAAAAGCAGGGTTAGAGCAGCTCTGGAGGCTGGGCTGCACCGCTGAGGGGTGCTCTGGGCTGCAGGTAAAGCTCATTTGGAGCGCGATGCAACTTGGATGCTCCCAGGGATGAGGCAGGCACGGATTCTCTGGCAACCTCCCCAAAATCTTTTACTAAATACCTATTATTAGGTAGTATTAGGAAATACTTATATTTTTATATATTTGTGTATAAATTGTCTGGGTTGGAGTTAAAGCTCATTTTTGAGGGACGGCTTCTGCTCTTCAACCCGGATGCTCCCAGGGATGAGGCAGGCACAGATTCTCTGCCAACCTCCCCACTATCTGTTATTAAATACCTATAATTAGGTAGTATTATATATATTTGTATAATATTAATTAGGCAATATTATTATATTTTTATATATCTATATATAAATTGTCTGGGTTGGAGTTAAAGCTCATTTTTGAGGGACACCTTCTGCTCTCCAACCCAGATGCTCCCAGGGATGAGGCAGGCACAGATTCTCTGGCAACCTCCCCACAATCTTTTACTAAATGCCTATTATTAGGTACTATTAGGAAATATGATATTTTATATATTTATATTTTATATTAATATTTATATAATCTAACTATTTTTTTCCTATTATTAGGAAATTTTTAGAATAGAGACTTGACAAGGTAAAGGCCTTGTCGAGCTTCTAAAGCAGGGAAATGAAAGCCTCAGCTTTTGGCTTTTCTATTTTTCAGGTTCTGCACTGATGCCTCAGGTTTCAGCTTTTCTAATTTTCAGATTCCGTGCTGCTTTCATGTGTGTATTTCTGAGCTTCATATTAAGGTTCACATTAGGTTTTTTCTGGGGGCACAGAAAAACCTTGATTTTGTATATTAAAAAAAAAACAACCCTCTCCAAGCAGCTCTCCCTGCTTGCAGGAGACAGCAGCAAGCACATCCCCTGACTCCTGGGTATTCACTGATTCATCCTCCCCTCCCAACACCTCCCTCCCTCCCTGCCAGTCATTTCACCAGGAATTTGGCTCCAAGGTGCTTTTCCTGCTTTTCTCCTGCACACAGCAGCTGCTGCCTTGGCATGGGGGAGGAGGAGGCACCAACCCCCTGCTCAGTTCCTGCTGCTGGCCTGGAGGCTTTTATTCTGCTCTGGAGGTTTTTATTCTGGTTTTTTTTCTGGCTTGGTGGGTTTTATTCTGGCCTGGTGGCTTTTATTCTGGTTTTTATCCTGGACTGGTGTTTTTTATCCTGGCCTGGAGGTCTTTATCCCGACCAGGAGGTTTTCATCCCGGCCTGGAGGTTTTTATTCTGGCCTGGAGGTTTTTATCCCCACCAGAAGGTTTTTGTCTCAGCCTGGACGTTTTCATCCCGGCCTGGAGGTTTTTATTCTGGTTTTTATCCCGGCCTGGACGTTTTCATCCCAGCCTGGACATTTTCATCCCGGGCCTGGAGGTTTTCATCCCAGCCTGGAGGGTTTTATCCCGGCCTGGAGATTTTTCTTTTAACAACCACAAAATAATCCCCCTGCCCAAGTCTCATCACATCCTTTGTCCTTCACCCTGGTGTTCCTTTTGACGACACAGGCCAACAACAACAACAACAACAACAAAACAACAATCCCAGCCCAAATCTCACCACAGGGCTCCTTGTCCTTGGTGCTGATGTCCCTTTGAGGACACAGCCACCACCACCACCACAATCCCAGCTCAAATCTCACATCACGGCCCCTTGTCCTTCACTTCAATGTCCCTTCAGAGGACACAGCCACCACCACCACCACCACCGTCACCACAATCCCAGCCCAAATCTCACCACAGGGTCCCCTGTGACGGATGCTGATGTTCCTTTTGGGGACACAGCCACCCCCAAGCCCAGCCCCAGCCGTGTCTCACCGCAGGCCCCGTGTCCCTGGTGTCCCTTTGGTGACACACCCAGCCCTGATGCCCAGCCCCAGCCGTGTCTCACCGCAGGCCCAATGTCCCTGGTGTCCCTTTGGTGACACACCCACCCTGAGCCCAGCCCCAGCCGTGTCTCACCGCAGGGTCCATGTCCCTGGTGTCCCTTTGGTGACACACCCACCCCGAGCCCAGCCCCAGCTGTGTCTCACCACAGGCCCCATGTCCCTGGTGTCCCTTTGGTGACACACCCAGCCCTGATGCCCAGCCCAGCTGTGTCTCACCACAGGCCCAATGTCCCTGGTGTCCCTTTGGTGACACACCCAGCCCAGCCCAGCCCCAGCCGTGTCTCACCGCAGGGCCCATGTCCCTGGTGTCCCTTTGGTGACACAGCCACCCCCAAGCCCAGCCCCAGCCGTGTCTCACCGCAGGGCCCCTTGTGCTTGACGCCGATGTCCCTCTGCAGCAGGCAGGCCATGGCCTGCAGCTCGCAGGGGCTGCCGTAGCTGCGCTGGTCGGTGCCGCACACGGGGTCGTAGCGGCCCTGGCACTGCTGCTGGCACTCGCACACGGCCTCCTGGTTCTTCACCACGCACGTGGCCCCGAAGGAGCACTCCACGCTCAGGCAGGGGCTGGGAGCACCCAGGTCTGCAGGGGACAGGGATGGCACGGCTGGCACGGGGCAGGATGTGACAGTGTCCCATGGGGAGCACCCGCCCGCCCCGAGCCATGGTGGGTTCAGAGCTGCTGGGCTCTGTGCCCTCCTGCCACCCTGCCATGCCCAGCTCAGCACAGTGCCCGGGCCTGGCAGAGGTGAGGGATGGGCACGGGGACAGGGACAGGGTGGCCACCTCGTCCCCTGGCCAGAAAGCACTGGCAGAACCTTCCAGAGAGCTCCCACGGGGAGGGCTCACTGCTGGGATCCACTGCTGCCTGAAAATCAGCTCCCTTCCCTGGGATCCACACTTCTCCCTTCCCTGGGATCCACTGCTCCCTGCAAAGCTCCCGGGGCTCCCCAGGAGGAGCTGCCTGGGGAGGACACACCTGGTTCCTGCTCATTGCCCACCCCATCCTCTTCCCTCCTCTTGCCAGGGAGCTGCTGTGGGGCAGGATGGGCACATCCCGTGTCCCTCCCTCAGCCCAGATTCCCCCTGGATGCACAGCCCCAGCCCAGCAGTGCCACCTCCCCTGGGGATGCCCAGGAGTGACAAAGTGACAGCAGAGGCCGTGTCCCACTCCCTGCTGGCAGGGACAGCACCCAGGAGCCGAGGAAGGAGGGGCTGTGCTGCTGGGGACAGAGCCAGCACTGCCCAGTGACCCTCTGGGACAAGGAAAGGACACCACGGGTTTCACCTGGGCTGGACAGTGACAAGGACACAGGACAAGGACACAGGTGGGGACAGACAATGCAGCCTGGAGGAGATGGAGCGACAGCAGACACAGCACAGCCCTGGCAGCGAGGCAGAGCTGGGCAAGGTCCCTCTGCAGGGGCCCTGGGCATCTCCCCTGCCAGCAGCACCGTGGTGGCACCTCTGTGGCACCTGTGCCAGGCAGCCAGGAAGGGCCTGGAGCAGGATCTGCCTACCTAGGGCCAGGGTCTGCAAAGGAACAGGGACAGGGGACAGCTCAGGCACAAGGACACAGCTCTGTCCCCAAATTCAGGCATGAGGACACAGCTCTGTCCCCAAATTCAGGCACGAGGACACAGCTCTGTCCCCAAATTCAGGCACAAGGACACGACTCCACCTCCGTCCCCAACTTCCCTGCAGCTCTGAGCTCTTCCCAGGCACCAGGAATTGCTCCCTGGGCTGCTGTCCCCACGTTTGTTTCTTTTTTGCCCCCATACCATGTCCCCTGCACACAGAGACACCAATTCCACAGGGGAACATTCCCAGGAGAAGCCAACTGTGAGCAGAACCAGCTCCTGCGAGCCTGGCAGAGGGAGCTGGGAGCCCTGGGACAGGGGACAAGCAGGACACAGAGCACGGCTGGGGCAGCACGGCTGGGGCAGCACGGCTGGGGCAGCCCGGGGCAGGCAGAACTCCAGGCAGGAGGATCTGGGGAAGCCATGGGGGTCATTTGGGAGCAGAAGGAGAGGGAAAATCAACCAGGAGCAGTCCAGGGTGATGCAGCAGCCCTGGGGAGGGGCTGGCTGAGGAGTGGGGGGCTCCCAGCACCCACCTCTGCTCCCTCTCTCCTTTGCCTGGAGGGCACAGCGGGCACCGGGCAAGAGCAATTTCCACTCCAGCAGGGTTTGGGGCCAGGGATGGGACAAAGGCCAGGGCAAGCTCTCCATCCTGGGGCTCTCAGGGCAAGCTCTCCATCCTGGGGGCTCTCAGGCCCAGCTAGAGCCAGGTGGGAGCAGTGAGAGGGGGCCACGGAGCAGGGGCGAGCTCCCAGCAGAGGTGTCCGGGCAGGGAGCAGGAGGGTGGTGCCAGGACAGAATTCCTTCCTCCACACAGGCAACACTGTAAAACACAAGACACAGACAAAAGAGGAAAGAGAGAGAGAGAGAAAGAGAGGACAGCAGAGAGAGGAAAAGACAGATGCAACTACAGACACCTTCCTCCCTTCTTTCCTGCACTCCTGGCCATGTCAGCCTCATCCCATCCCTTCTTTCTGAGCTGCAGCACCCAGAATGACTCAAACCAAGAAATTTGACGATGAATGCTTATCAAGAATTATTATTTTACCAATTAAAATTGCAAAACTTGTTTTTGAATGAAGACCTGAGCTGAAAACAAGCAAACAAGCAAGCTTGTAACAGCTAGCTACAAAATAGAAATTCCTGTGTGATGTATTTTCCAATTGTTCTTCCAATCACTTTCTCCCTTTTAATGGCTTGGATGGTTTTGTTTGGCTTTGCCTCCCTGGCCTGGCTGCTGGAAAAGGCGGCAGAGCTCAGGGTTTGTCAGGCAGGTGCTTGTGAGGGGTTAAAATGCTGCCAAGCCTTGCCCAGCTCTGCATTCCCACAGCTCCCAGGCACGGATGAGCTCCCCAGCTCTGAGCTTTTCCTTTTCCTTTCCAGAGCTGACAGGGCTAAAAAAAATCTGCTCACACCTCCTGGGGATGGGCTCCAGGGCTGCCTGGAGCTGTCACAGGCACTCTGCAACCCCACTTTTGGCAGACACAGCCCTGGTTTTGATTCATTCCCCCAGTTTTTGCTCGTGTCCCACCAGGATGCAGCTCCTGGAAGCAGATGTGCGCTGGGCAGGAGGGAGGGGAGCTGAAATCAAGGAGAGGGAGGTGGAGGGAGGGATGGCAGGTGCACCAGGACCTCACCCTGCTGCTCCTGGCCTTTTTCCACAGAACACGGTGGAAATGATGCGTGGCTGATGCTCAGAGCAGCGTGAATTCCCTGCTCATCCCAGAAATTTGGGAATTTTCAGCCTCTCAAGGAGGCACAGGGGAGGGTTTGAGGAGAGCCAGGGCTGCAAAAAAATCCCCCCTGATGGGATCACAGCCCTTCCCACAGGGAAAACCTGGGGGATTGACTCCCAGCCATTCATTCCCCCACCAGGAACACAGGGAAATGGAGGCTTAAAAATAACAGCTGTGATTATTCTGAGTGGGATTTTGGGAACCTGACAAATTCTTTTCCAGCAGCTGGGTCTGGCAGCCTCGAAATCCTCCAGCAGGAGCACAAAGCCAACAAAACACATCCCCAGCGTGGGATCCTGATTGCCAAGCACTTCAGGAGGCTCAACCCAGCTGATACCTGATCAAACATCAGCTTAAAAGAACAGGATGCAGTTCCAGAGGTGGGAAAAACCCAAACTGAGCCGAAATGAGCAACTTGTAACTCATCCAAATGAGTGCAGGGGCTGCTTTAACCTCCTGCACTTCCCAGGGGGAGAACCTCACACCTGGACACTCCTAAGGATCCAAAGCCCCATCCCATCCCATCCTCCTGAGAAAGGTCCATGGGGGAGCTTCTCCTAGAGACGAGACAAAGACACGGTGAGAGCGGCAGAGAGGGCACAGAGGGCAGAGTTCCCGGTGGAGAGAAGCAGGCAGGCATGGAAGGGAGAGCATGGATGGATTTGGAGACTGGCACTACCCTGGGAGGAGCAATGGATGGCATGGGTCGAGGGGGACGTGGTGGGGAGGGACAGAAACCAGCAGGAGGTCACAGACAGTGGCTCAAACACAGATGGGTGTCCCCTGTGCCACACAGCAGACAGAGACAGGAGACGTGCACACAGCGGGGCTGCTGCAAGGACAGAAACACGGGACAGGGACGTGCCAGGCTGGGCCCAGGGCTTGCTCAGGGGGCACCCACGCAGCCTCAGCCATCCTGCCTGGAGAGGGCCCGGGGAGGTGGGGGATCAGCATTCCCACAGGACAGGGGAGCAGCATCCCCGTGGGACAGCATCGCTGCAGGACAATCTGGGCACCAACATCCCTATGAGACAGGAGGGAACAGCATCCCCATGGGACAATTTGGGGACCAGAATTCCTGTGGGACAGGGCAGGACCAGCATCCCTGTGGGATGGCAGGGACCAGCATCTCCATAGGACAGCATCCCCATCCAGGACAATTTGGTGACCACCATCCCTTCCCTGTGGGACAACTTGGGGACCACCATCCTTACAGGACAACTTGGGGACCATCACCCCTACATGACACCAACCCTACAGGACAAGTTGGGTACCACCATCCCTACAGGACAACTCGGGGCCCACCACCCCCACATGACACCATCCCTGTGGGACAGCTTGGGGACCACCAACTCCACAGGACAGCATCCCCATGGGAAAACTTGGGGCCCACCATCCCTACATGACACAACCCCTACTGGACAATTTAGGGCCCACCATCCCTACAGGACACCACCCCCGTGGGACAACTTGGGGCCCACCATCCCTACAGGCCAACCTGGGGCCCACCATCCCTACAGGACAATTTAGGGCCCACCACCCCTACAGGCCAATTTAGGGCCCACCATCCCTAGAGGACACCACCCCCGTGGGACAGCCTGGGGCCCACCATCCCCGTCGGGCACCTTGGGGATCACCATCCCTACAGAACAGCCTGGGCCCCCCAGCCTCCCGTGGCCCCGTGGTGCAGGCCTGGTCGCAGGCCCCGCGGCGGCGCTCACCGCAGGGCCCGCTGTGGCGGGTGGGGATGTGCTGCTGCTGCAGGCACTCGGCGCGCCGGCGCTGGCAGTCGCTGCCGTAGGTGCGGCCGTCGCGGGCGCACAGGGGCCGGAAGGCGCCGTCGCAGGCGATGCGCTCGCAGGAGCAGCGCGCGGCCCCGCGCCGGTTCAGGCACACGGCGCCCAGCCGGCACGGCTCCGGGCACTGGTCTGTGGGACACGCCAGGCAGGGTTAGTGCGGGTTTCTTAATATTCTCCAGGTTCTCTACTGATTTTTTTTAGATATATTTTTCAGGTTGTCTACTGATGCTTTAGTATTTTTCTTAATATTTTTCAGGTTCTGTATTGATGCTTTAGCATTCTTTTTTATTATTTTTCAGGTTCTATACTTTTTAAAAATATTTTTTTTCAGGTTCTGTACTGATGCTTTAGTATTTTTTTTTAGTATTTTTTTTAGTATTTTTTCAAATATTTTTCAGGTTCTGTACTGATGCCTCAGGCTTTAAGTTTTATGTTTTTCAGGTACTGGACTGATGCCTCAAGTTTTATGTTAATATATAGAGTATTATAATAAATTATACTTATTATATATTATTATATAATGTATTGTATATGTATTTATTATGTGAACCTATATAATGTGCTACATAATATGATTAATATATTATATTGTATTTAATATATATTTTTATATTTCTATATTTTATATATTATAATATAGTTATTTTATATAATTACTTTATCTATTTATATATAGTATTATTACTTTATATATTTGATTTATATTATGTACTATATATTATATAAAATATATTACATATTATATAAAATATATTGTAAAAGTAATACATTAAATAAATATATTAATAAAATATATAATGCATTATATAGAGCATTAATATATTAATAAAATATATAATGTATGATGCTATATTAATTATGTTTATATATTTATATATTAGATCATTTATTAAAAGAACATATTAATACATTAAACAAAGAACTACTACTATTTTAAACAGAATAGAGCCTCTAGGCTCTGTTTGAGGCAGCCTCTTTGGGCAGCCAGGGGATGCTGCGAGAGAGGAGGATGAGGATGAAGGGCGGGCACTCACCCTGCGGCTGGCACTGCCCCGAGCGCACCTTCTGGATGTCCATGCCGCGGATGGCCCCCGAGCGGGCCATGGCGCACTCGCTCTCGTAGGTGACGCCGTCGTCGCCGCACACGGGGTCCCTGCCCGGGGGACAGCCCTCGGGCCGGGGCAGCAGCTCCGCCCGCCGTGTCCGCGGATTCACCCGGCACACGCGGCCCGGCTCGCTCGGCACGGCCTGGCACGGGTCTGGCACGGGCGGGAGGCACGGCTCGCTCCCTGCCCTCTGCCATCGTCACTCCCCGCCCGAACCGGGGCTTCCCAGGCTCTGCTCCATCCCTTTGGGGCCCCCCAATCTTCCTTTCTGCCCCAAGGAGTCACTCCCTGCCCAAACCCTGCCCAGATCGGGGCTTCCCAGGCTCTGCTCCATCCCTGCACTGCCCCAAGAGCCCCCAGATCTTCCTTTGTGCTCCAGGGAATCACTCCCTGCCCAAACCATGGCTTCCCAGGCTCTGTTCCTTCCCCAAGAGCCCCCAGATCTTCCTTTGTGCTCCATGGAGTCACTCCCTGCCCAAACCATGGCTTCCCAGGCTCTGTTCCTTCCCCAAGAGCCCCCAAATCTTCCTTTGTGCTCCATGGAGTCACTCCCTGCCCTCTGGCACTGTCACTCCCTGCCCAAACTGGGGCGTCCCAGGCTCTGCTCCTTCCCCAAGAGCCCCCAGATCTTCCTTTGTGCTCCTAAGGACTCAGTCCTTACTGAGCCCATTTCCAAAGGGAACAGCACTGGGATAAACTCTGCCTTTTTCCCCATCCTGAGCTGCTTTTGGGATGCTCCAATTCCAGGAGCTGTTTGGGATTCTCCAATTCCAGGATGTTTTAGCTCCAGGAGCTATTGGGGATGCTCTGATTCCAAGAGCTGTTTGGGATGTTTTGGCTCCAGGAGCTGTTTGGGATGCTCTAATTCCAGGATATTTTGATCCCAGGAGCTGTTTGGGATGTTTTGGCTCCAGGATCTCTTTGGGAAGCCGGGCAGCAGCAGCAGCAGCATTTCCCTGCCCCGAGCAGGGCCAGGGCAGCAGCAGGAGGAGCTGACCCCGGTGCTGGAGTCGCTCTCTGGCTCAGCAGGGTTGGAGCACAAACACCCGGGGGAAGGAGGCACTGCCTGGTTCTTGGCTCAGCAGCTGTCACCAAAGTGACCATTCACTGTCCAGAGTGACCTTTCACTGTCCACAGTGACCTTTCACTGCCCACAGTGACCTTCTACTGTCCAGAGTGACCGTCTACTGTCCAGAGTGACCGTCTACTGTCCAGAGTGACCTTTCACTGCCCACAGTGACCTTCTACTGTCCACAGTGACCTTTCACTGTCCAGAGTGACCATCTACTGTCCAGAGTGACCTTTCACTGCCCACAGTGACCTTCTACTGTCCAGAGTGACCTTCTACTGCCCAGAGTGACCTTTCACTGCCCACAGTGACCTTCTACTGTCCAGAGTGACCTTTCACTGCCCAAAGTGACCTTTCACTGCCCACAGTGACCTTCTACTGTCCACAGTGACCTTCTACTGTCCAGAGTGACCTTCTACTGTCCAGAGTGACCTTCTACTGTCCAGAGTGACCTTTCACTGTCCAGAGTGACCTTTCACTGCCCAGAGTGACCTTTCACTGCCCAGAGTGACCTTTCACTGCCCAAAGTGACCTTCTACTGCCCAGAGTGACCTTCTACTGCCCAGAGTGACCTTTTTCCTACCCAAACCACCCATTTCTTACCCAAACCACCCCTTCTCCTGCCCAAACCACCCTCTTTTCTACCCAAACCACCCTTTTTCTGCCCAACCCACCCCTTTTCTGCCCTTTCCCTGCCCAAACCACCCGTTTCCCACCCCCTGACCCCCCAACCCTTTCCTCCTCCACTCTCCCGCCTCTCCTTCCCCCTGCACCCCTACCCCAGCTGGGCACATTTTTTAACCCCCTCCTCCCCGAGACACTTAACGCCCTCCTCACCACAGGGGCCATCGAACTTCTTGAAGACGTTCTCCTGCTTGTCACAGGCGTGCTTGTTGAGGTGGCACTGGCTGCGGTAGTCGCGGCCGTCGCTGCCGCACACGGGGCTCTCGGCGACGCCGCTGCACGACGAGGGACACACGCACCGGGCGCCCTGGCCGTCAGGGGAGGGGACACACGTGCTGCCAAAGCTGCAGGTGACCTCAGCACAGGGGTCCTTGGAGCCTGGGGACATGGCAGGGGACGGGGGTGAGGGCACGGAGCAGGTGAGAGCGCGGCACGGGATGTCCCGCTTGTCTCGTGGAATAACCCAAATGTATCCCAAGATCCCCCAAATTGTCCCTCTAAATGCCCCAATTCAGCAGCAATGGAGACAATTTTCCATAATTTCCCTCCTCACAGTTTGCTGACCTCCAAAGCAGAGCTGGTGATTCCTCAGCTTCCCTTCCCAGCCTTTGGTGTCCCTGGCCCAGCCCGTGGCCATCATTTCCCCATAATTTTCCCACCATTTCTCCATAATTTTCCCACCATTTCTCCATCACTTCTCCACCATTTCTCCTCCTTACCACACTCTCCTGAGCCCCAAGGCAGCTCTGATGATCCCCCAGTGTCGCCAGCCCTGTCCCCACCCCTCCAGCCACAGCCCCAGGTGTCCCTGCCCGCCCTGGGGCCAGCCAGGGTCCCTCACTCACCGCAGGGTCCCTTGCTGACCACCTTGATCCTCCTCTGCTGGTTGCACTGGGCCCTGTCCAGCTCGCACTCGTTGCTGTAGGTGGAGTGGTCGGAGCCGCACACCGGGGCCACCACGGGGGCACAGGGACCCTTCTTGCACACGCACGAGGCCTGGCCCGGCTCCGAGGGGCTGCGCTCGCACACGGCCCCGAAGCCACAGAGCATCCCCCGGCACCCTGCGGGCACAGGGACATCCCATGGGAGTCACCAAACCCACAGAGCATCCCCCGGCACCCTGCGGGCACAGGGACACACACATGGGGGTCACCAAACCCACAGAGCATCCCCCGGCACCCTGCGGGCACAGAGACACACACACATGGGGGTCACCAAACCCACCAAACCCACACAGCATCCCCCGGCACCCTGCGGGCATGGAGACACCCAATGGGCATGGAGACACCCAATGGGCATGGAGATATCCCAATGGGCATGGAGACACATGGCCCCGAACCCACACAGCATCCCCTGGCACCCTGCGGGCACAGGGACACACACAGGGGGCACAGGGACATCCCAGTGGGTACAGGGACATGCATGGGGGCACAGGGACACACACACAGGGGGTACAGGGACACACAGAGCATCCCCCAGCACCCTGTGGGCACGGGGACACCCCAATGGGCACGGGGACACATGAGGGGCACAGGGACATGCCGGGGGCACAGGGACATGCCAGGGGGCACAGGGAAACACACACACACACAGGCAGCCCCCAAACCTTTCCCTAAAATCCGATTCTCCCCTTCCCTGGGACAGCCCCATCCATTCCCTGAGGTGTTCCCTGCCCCAGTGCCCCCTCCCAGTGCCCCCCACACGTCAGAACCAGAGCCTGACCTACATAAAAGGGAAAAGAGGAATCCTAAAAGGAAAATCAAACTCCTCATTTACACTTCAATTCCCAGGCGTCTGCCTTTGACTGCCTGGAGATTCTGGAGCTGCAAACCCAGAGATAAATCCCAGGAAATCAAAAGGAAAAGGATTCTCCCCCTCTCCTGCCCCAGCACAAGATAAATCCCATAAATCCCGGGAAATCAAAAGGAAAAGAATTCTCCTCCTCTCCCAGCGGTATCTAAAGGGATTCATCATTTTGCTGAAGAGTCTGAGTCTCTCCTGCACTTCCCAGAGCTGCTCCTTCCCTCTCTTTGGGGTTTTTTTAAAAAATGCAGATGAGGTGTAAAAATTCCAGGGGAAGGGAATTGTGGGATTCATCCTGAGGGAAGGGGATGGGGAGAGGGAATGGAGCTGGGGCTGGCTTGGCCATGGCCATGGCCTGAGACACACAGTTAATTCTGAACTTAAAGCAAAAATCCATTTCCTATTTAAATGGAGAATGGGATTATTCCCAATGATTTGAATGAGTGGTTTAAATTATTTAGTTTGCAGTTTGCTCACATAGGTGAAATATGTTGTTTTAACCTGTTTCATCTCTTACATTTACTGTGCTCAAAAAAAGCTTCTATTGGATAAAAAAAAATTACTTGTGCCCAAAAGGGGCAGTGGGAACGGCAGGGCTGGGCATTAATTAATTTGGGGTGGGCATTAATTAATTAACTCGGGCTGGGCATTAATTAATTCGGGCTGGGCATTAATTAATTCGGGCTGGGCATTAATTAATTCGGGCTGAGCGAGGTGCCCGTTGCCATGGAGAGTGGCTGGGCCGGTGTTCCTGTCCCCCAGCCCAGCCCCGCTCATCAACATTCAAATATTCAGCCCCGCCCTACCAATATTCAAATATTCAGCCCCACTCATCAATATTCAAATATTCAGCCCCACTCCTCAATATTCAAATATTTATTGCATCACCCGGGGTGGGGAGTGAGGAGGAGCCCCTTTCTTCACCCCAGACCTGAGCCCCAGCTTTGTTAGGCCGGACAGTGACCCTGCCCAGCCCTTTCTTCACCCCAAACCTGAGCTCTGGCTTTGTTAGGCCGGACAGTGACCCTGCCCAGCCCTTTCTGCACCCCAGACCTGAGCCCTGGCTTTGTTAGGCTGGACAGTGACCCTGCCCAGCCCTTTCTGCACCCCAGACCTGAGCCCTGGCTTTGTTAGGCCGGACAGTGACCCTGCCCAGCCCTTTCTGCACCCAGACCTGATCCCTGGCTTTGTTAGGCCGGACAGTGACCCTGCCCAGCCCTTTCTGCACCCAGACCTGATCCCCGGCTTTGTTAGGCCGGACAGTGACCCTGCCCAGCCCTTTCTGCACCCCAAACCTGAGCCCTGGCTTTGTTAGGCCGGACAGTGACCCTGCCCAGCCCTTTCTGCACCCAGACCTGATCCCTGGCTTTGTTAGGCCGGACAGTGACCCTGCCCAGCCCTTTCTGCACCCAGACCTGATCCCCGGCTTTGTTAGGCCGGACAGTGACCCTGCCCAGCCCTTTCTGCACCCCAGACCTGAGCCCCAGCTTTGTTAGGCCGGACAGTGACCCTGCCCAGCTTTGGGAGGGGAAGGGACCTCCCCAACCCTCCAGGTTGATCCAACCCTTCCTCCCCCAGCTCCTGAGCAAACCTCATCCAAATCCCAGCATTTTCCCAGCCCAAACCCTGTCCCAGAGCCAGCCCAGGAACACAAGCAGCACAAACCCATCCCCTCCCCGTGTCCCCCAAACCCCTCCTGCACCCTGGCAGCCCCCAGAACAGGCCCTTGCCCATCTCCTGGGGGATCTTTGGGAAGTCTGGCATCTGCCTGGGCTGGGCTGTTCATGTTTTGGAGCCCTGAGCAAGGAGTTCCACCCACGTGGGGGTTTATTTTTTGCTCGAGATGCCTTTCCCCGGGCCAATTATAGATTAATCACATTTTATCTCACATCCTTGTCTCCCCCACCCCCAGCAGGGGAGGCAAAAATGAGGGAAAAAAATAAAAAAATAAATTAAATTAAAAAAAAAAAGGCAACAAGCAGGTTATTAATTGGCTGCTGTTTTCTGTTTGCTGGGCTCTTATCTGTGCACGTGGAGGTGGGGGAAGAGCTGCCAGCAAAGGCAGAGGGTTTAAGCCTGGCTTTAAAAAGGGAACAAAGCTCCTGTGATGGTTTTATCTCAGCCTGGGCTTGCCTGCCCTGCATCCAGCAGCTCCTGAAGCTGATAAGAACCTCACAAAGAAAAAAAAATAACAAAAAACCAAACCCAAAGTTCTCTGTGAAACCAGAGGAAAGGTGGGAGAAAATGCAAGGCTGCAGAAATTCACCTTTTGCAGCCCTTCCCTGCTTCCAGCCAGGAAAATATCTGGGAAAAGGGAGCCCTGAGGGGCACTGCCCTCCTTCCTCACCCAAATCATGGATCCCCAGGAAAATGGGAGCACAATCCCATGAAAATCCCTGGAAAAGGGAGCACTGAGGGGCTCCTTCCTTCCTTCCTCACCCAAATCCTGCATCCCCAGGAAAAGGGGAGCACAATCCCATGAAAATCCCTGGAAAGGGGAGCACTGAGGGGGAACTGCCTTCCTTCCTCACCCAAATCCTGCATCCCAAAAAAATCCCTGGAAAAGGGAGCACTGAGGGGCTCCTGCTTTCCCTCCTCACCCAAATCCTTCATCCCCAGAAAATCCCTGGAAAAGGGAGCCCTTTTCCTCCCTCCTCACCCAAATCCTGCACCCCCAGCACTGCCCCAGGGCTTTGGGCACACTCTGCACCCAGCCCCAGGGATTTGGGCACACTCTGCACCCAGCCCCAGGGATTTGGGCACACTCTGCACCCAGCCCCAGGGCTTTGGGCACACTCTGCACCCAGCCCCAGGGATTTGGGCACACTCTGCACCCAGCCCCAGGGCTTTGGGCACACTCTGCACCCAGCCCCAGGGATTTGGGCACACTCTGCACCCAGCCCCAGGGATTTAGGGACACTCTGCACCCAGCCCCAGGGATTTGGGCACACTCTGCACCCAGCCCCAGGGATTTAGGGACACTCTGCACCCAGCCCCAGGGATTTGGGCACACTCTGCACCCAGCCCCAGGGCTTTGGGCACACTCTGCACCCAGCCCCAGGGCTTTGGGCACACTCTGCACTCACCATCCCGCGGTGGCGGCGGCGTCTGCGTGAAGTAACTGTTGGGTTTGTCTGCAAGGAAACAAAAACCAGGGAGCTGTCACAATCCTGCCCCAGCCCTTTTTGGGATGCTGTTTATCCCTCCGTGAGGAGATCTGGCCCCCAGGAGCTCCTGGAAGCTGGCAGGAAGGGGAGCCAGGATTACCCAAACCCAGTTTGGGATAGTCCCAGGTGCTGATGGAGCTGTCATGGGTTCCTTGGGATGGTGTTTCATCCCTCCTGGAGCAGGTGTGGCTCCCAGGAGGTCCCAGGATCACCCAAAGCCACTTTGGGCCAGCCCCAGGTACTGGGCAAGCGCCTCTGGGAGCAGCCCCCAGTGCCTGGCAGGGCTGGACCTGCCCCAGCCTGTCCTGCCCCATCTCCTGGGGCCAATCCTGCTGTGGATCACCCCACACACAGCTGGCCTCACACCCAGCCCAGAGCAGGAATGCTGCAGCCCCCTGCACCATCTCTTGCTCCTTCCAAATCCTCACATCCCACAGTCATCACTTGCAGCAGCCCTTCCAGATCCTCACATCTCCCAGTCATCTCCAGCCCTTCCAGATCCTCACATCTCCCAGTCATCTCCAGCCCTTCCAGATCCTCACATCTCCCAGTCATCTCCAGCCCTTCCAGATCCTCACATCCCCCAAATCATCACCTGCACCAGCCCTTCCAGATCCTCACATCTCCCAGTCATCTCCAGCCCTTCCAGATCCTCACATCCCCCAAATCATCACCTGCACCAGCCCTTCCTGAATCCTCAGATTCCCCCAATCAGCCCCCAAAAAGTGGGAGGAAGGGGCAGCAGAACTGCAAGGTCCCCAAGCAAGGGTCCCCAGCCAGCCCCTGTTTGGGGACCCTGATGGAGCATGGGGGAGCTGAGCTGAGCTCCCTCAGCTCCAGAACCCCTCTGGAACACCCAGAACCCAGGGTTGGGGCTGGGGCTGGGCTGTGGCAGAGATGAGCCCAGCACAGCACGCTCCAGGCTCCTGGGGGACACCCCTGGCTTCATCCCTGAGCACCAGAGGAGCTGCACACCCCAAAATGGGGCTGGGGGCTCTGCCAGGCCTCAGGAGGGGGAGCAGGAGCCTGGCACAGACACCTGGATCCACACCCAGGGTGGGATGGACTCAGCTGCACCAGGGATCACATTCACAGCCAGAGCTCAGGGGAAATCTCACATCCCCCAACCATCAGCAGCCTTTACAAATTCCTGACATCCCCCAGATCATCTCCTGCCCTTCCCAAATTCCCACGTCCCTCAGATCATCACCAGCACCTCCCAAATCCTCACATCCCCCCAGTCATCACCTGCCTCTCCCAAATCCTCACATCCCCCATACCATCATTTGCACCAGCCCTTCCAGATCCTCACGTCTCCCAATCATCTCCAGCCCTTCCCAAATCCTCAGGTCCCCCTGATCCTCACCTGCACCTGCCCTTCCCAAATCCTCACATCCCCCCAGTCATCATCTGCCTTCCCAAATCCTCACATTTCCCAATCATCATCTGCCTTCCCAAATCCTCACATCCTCCTGATCATCATCTGCCCTTCCCAAATCCTCACATTCCCCCAATCATCACCCCCAGCAGCCCTTCCCAAAGCCTCACATCCCCCCAGTCACCTGCATCAACCTTTCTCAATCCTCAGATCCCCCTGATCCTCACCTGCACCAGCCCTTCCCAAATTCCCACATCCCCTGGATCATCACCAGCCCTTCCCAGATCCCCCATGCCCAGATCCCCACCCGGATTTGGGATGGAGCCTGCCAGGAGCAGCAGCAGCAGCAGCAGCAGGTGGGAGCTGTCCTGGCCCACGCAGAGCCGCCCTCACAGCTCTGCTCCCTCTTCCCTGCCAGGCAAAAGTGGGACAGGGAGCCCCAATCCCGGGACTGTCCCCAGGGCAGCCCAAATCCCGGGACTGTCCCCAGGGCAGCCCCAATCCCGGGATTGTCTCCAGGGCAGCCCCAATCCCAGGATTGTCCCCAGGGCAGCCCCAATCCCGGGATTGTCCCCAAGGCAGCCCCAATCCCGGGATTGTCCCCAAGGCAGCCCCAATCCCAGGATTGTCCCCAAGGCACCCAGGAGCTCTGGAGGAGCCCATCTGGTGGCCCTGGGATCCATCCTGCCCCCTCAGGGACACCTACAGTTGTTGAGGAAGAGCAGCACGGCGAATCCCAGCGTGGAGGTGGCCAGCAGGATGAGGCAGATGTTGCAGGGGATCATGAAATACCTCACCACCAGGGACACCTTGTGCTGGTACAGCCGGTCCCGCTCCAGGGCTCCCGGCGCCATGGGGTGCTGGCACGCTGTCATGCTGGGCTCTCACACCCCAGGAGGCACCACCAGGCTCTCAGGGATCCCTGTCCTCTGTCCCCGGCTGGGTTTGGCAGTTTAGGTTTTCCCAGAGGTTCCCATCTCGGCTGGCAGCAGGATGGGGGCACCCTCAGGACTCCGTGCCCGGTGGTGCCATGGCAGAGGCGCGGCCCTGGGGACAGCTTGGGGACAGCTCCGGAGGCACAGGGACACTCAGGCAGCCCCCGAGGTGTCAATCCACGGGTGCTCGCAGAGAGCAAACCAAAACGACCGGAAAGCAAAACAAAATGCCCAGAAAGCAAACCAAAATCCTGGTGCAGAGGGCTCCAAATCCGTGGCTGAGCCCACCAGGACAATGACACGCCGGGGTGGGAATGGTGGGAATGTCACAGCAGGAGCAGAGCTGGGACAGGGACAGTGCCAGCACAGGAACGCTCCCAGGCTTGGCAATATTGCTGTTGTCTGGGATAATGGCTGAGATACTCCAGGATAACCCCTGAGATCCTCCGGGATAACCCCTGAGATCCTCCGGGATGATCTTTCAGATCCTCCAGGATAAACCCTGAGATCCTCTGGGGTATCTTCTGGGATAAACCCTGAGATCCTCTGGGATATCTTCTAGGATCCTCAAGGATAACTGCTGAGATCCTCCACGATAACCTCTCAGCTCCTCCAGGATCACCTCTCAGATTCTCCAGGATCACCTCTCAGATTCTCCAGGGCAATCTCTGGGATCCTCTCAGATCCACGCCAGTCTCACCCCAGGCTCACGGGGCTCCCTCGCTGTCCAGCGGCTCCTCCAGGACACGTCCGGCGGCCTCTGACCCTCTGCAGGTCCTCACAGCCAGGAGCGGCCAAGATTCCGGGAGAAACCCAAAATTCTGGGAGAAACCCAAAATTCCGGGATCGGCCAAGATTCTGAGAGCAGCAAGGATTCCAGGAGCAGCCCAAGGATTCCGGGAGAATCTCAAAATTCCAGGATCAGTCCAAGTATTCTGGGAGCAGCCAAGATTCGGGATCAGCCCAAGGGTTCCAGGAGAAACTCAAAATTCCAGGAGCAGCCCAAGGACTCCGGGAGCAGCCCAAGGACTCCGGGAGCAGCCCAAGGACTCCGGGAGCAACCCAAAATTCCGGGAGCAGCCAAGATTCGGGATCAGCCCGAGGATTCCGGGAGCAGCCCGAGCATTCAGGGCTGCGGCTCAGCCCAAGGCAGGCGCTCCTCTCGGCTCCATCCCCGCTCCCTGCCCAGGCCAGCCCGGCTCTCCGGGAGCCGCCCGCGGCTCGGCCCGGCGCGCGGGGGCCCGGCTCGGCTCGGCTCGGCCCGGCTGCCCGGCTCAGTGCCCGCCTGACGCCGCTCGGACATGCCGGTGCCTCCCGGCCGGAGCGCGGCTCGGCGGCATGGAGCGGCTGCGAGGGAGGGAGGGATGGATGGGAGGGAGGATGGATGGGAGGGAGGATGGATGGGAGGGAGGATGGATGGGAGGGAGGATGGATGGGAGGGAGGTGGATCCCTAATCCCGGTGGTCTCCGTGCGCCCCCCGCGCGGGGATGGGGCCGCGCAGGATCAGACAAGGGAGCGGCAGCGCGGAGCGAGCGCGGAGCTCCCCCCGCCCCGCATCCCTCCCCTCCCCTCCCTTCCCTTCCCTCCCTCCGCCCTCCCCTCGGCCCGACCCCGGCGAGGGGGGGCCCGGCGAGCCAACAAAGGGGAGCGGGGGCGCAGGGGCGCGGCGCAGACAAAGAGCGGGGGCGGCGGGGGTCGCGCAGGAGCCGCTCCCCACCCGGGCACGGCGTGGGCAGCGCAGGGAAGGGCGGGGGACCCTCCCCAGGACCCCCCGGATGAGCACGGAGGGGTGGGAGGGGGCCCGGCCCCCCCGGCTGCTCGCAGCTCTGCCGGCATCGCCCCCGAGAGAGCCCCGGGGACGGCAGGGAAAACCCGGCCATTGGCTTTAGGGTGTTACCGGCACCGACTGCCCGAAACCAGCCCGAAAGAACAGCAGGGAAAACCCGGCCATTGGCTTTGGGGTGTTACCGGCACCGACTGCCCGAAACCAGCCCGAAGGAACAGCAGGGAAAACCCGGTTATTGATTTTTGGGACGTTATCGGCACCGACTCCCCCAAAGCAGCCGGGAAAAAGGAGCAGGGATGGAACTGCTCCATCGCTGCGGCTCCCGGCTGTTCCTGCTTCCCGCAGGGATGGGAAGGTGCCACCAGCAGGGCTGGGTGGAAGCCAGAGGAAGGTGAAGGTCCAACAATGGGCTGGGAGCGCTGCCACAGCCCCGGGCAGGGATCGCTGCCGCCCCAAACACAAACCCGGGAGCTCGCCCTGCCCTGCCAGGGGGGCATTCCCGGCAAAACACAAATTCCCTGGGCTGGAACGGCACTTTGAGGGCACCAGGACACGCTGGGTCATTGCCCAGCCACCAGGGAGGAGCTGGGCAGCTCTGGGGGCTGCAGGAGAACCCCTCAAGAGGAAAAGAGGAAGGCGAGAGAGAACCTGGGCTGTGCCACACCAGGGGCTGGGTTATCCCCCAAAACCAGGGCAGGAGGTGCTGCAGAGGGGCTGGCAGCAGCCGGCAGCACCAGCAGGGACCCTGCAAGCCCTCCCAGGACAGACGGACACCGTGGGGTGTGGGGAGGGAGGGCAGAGCAGCTGCTCCGAGCCCCTCGGCAGCAGGGAGGGGAGCTCAGCTTCCCCTGCAGCCTCCGGGAGCTG